ACCCCCCTCCTGCACGAAATGGATTGTCCTAAATTACCCCTGTCTATACCCCATAGTGTAGTCTATACCCCATAGTGGTGAAGCCATAAAAACAGTATGTCTTCACCACATAGTGGTGGAGCCATAATGATGGGAAAGAACAGGTGATGATAAAGGGTCAAAGGTCACTAACTGGCCTGCCACACCCGGAAGTGACAAGGCTGTGAGAAGAGACAAACGGATCAGCTGTTACATGCCCGTAGCCAGGGGGGGTCGGGGGGTTCGGAAGAACCCCCCCACAAGGCTCAAAGGTCCACTTTTTGGTCCACTTTTTATGTAAAGGTCCACTTTTTGGTCCACATTTTATGTAAAGGTCCACTTTTTGGTCCACATTTTATGTAGAAAAACTGCTCCCTTTGTCATTGAATAAAAATCTATCTCTGATTTTTTCTTGGAAATCCTCTTGAAAATGCACGAAATGCCATTCTAGAAGGTTCATTTTTCAAAATTTTCCGGGGGAGCATGCCCCCGGACCCCCCTAGGAACCTCGCGCCTTCGGCGCTCGAGGTCCCCTCAAGCAGTGGGAAGAACCCCCCCATTCAAAATCCTGGCTACGGGCATGACTTCATTTCAAAGAAACCGGTTAAGGTGATAAAGCAACAACTTTGCTGGGTTTCTGAGGAAGTTTTGATCGTTTATCATTCGTCTCAGGATTTCATTCATCACTTTTAGAGCAAAAATCGATAAAGGCGACCCTTCAGATTACAGGTCAGTACGCCTGACAAAGATTCATGAGATCTTCCTCGGCAGGACTCATCTTTAAGTTGCTCTACCGTTTCTTACGTCACCACGCCTTTTTTCTGGTAAAAAGGAGAACAGCGCGATAGGAATTACTCTGTAGAGACTGCTATTGAAGTTTGATGTTGAATATGAAGGAATAAACTGTTGCGCTGTGACTGAAAGGTCAGCTTTGGAAAGCCTTCGATTTGATGGCATCTACCATCTCTCTTAAGCTCTGAAAGATCATCCCGTAGCATTGGCCTTGAAGGTCACACAAGGGACGTGACTAAGTGTGTGTGTGTGTGTTTGTGTGTGTGTGTGTGTGTGTGTGTGTGTGTGTGTGTGTGTGTGTGTGTGTGTGTGTGTGTGTGTGTGTGTGCGTGTCTGTGTGTGTGCGCGCGCGCGCGCGTGCGTTTGTTCATGTGTTGAAATAATATTGAATGCAATCTTTCTTTCCTTTCCATAGCTGATTCAGCAAGTAGTACAAAATGGCTGTGGGAACAGAGTGGAAGAGGAGAAACAACACAGGATGAAGCAAGGAAAAACATTTCAAACAAAACGTGCACCACTAGAGTCTATCTAATGATTGAAATGTATTCCTTGGCAACGCAGCACAGTCGCGTTTATGAACAAGTGTTTGGCAATAGCTGTCATATTTATCGAACGTACTGACTATATTTACTGTTTCTGTCACATATGAAGTGAGATAAAACTGTTTACTTTGAGCAAGGAGCTTCCATCACCTTGCTTTGAAGTCCTTTGCTTTTCGTTGACTATGTTTTTGTTACGGGTACTCAAAAGAGAGACAGGATCCTAAAAATCAACTTAAGCTCTACAAATCGTAAATCAGAGCCTCCAAAATGGACATGGACAATTTTACCAATGAGTCCACCTGTGCGTCGGAAAACGTTACCGTTGAACCGTATTCCGTCACGAACCAGTTCAGACTGCCTGAATGGCAGGTAGCACTCTGGACTCTTCCTTACACAGCCATCGTGCTGGCGGCCATCGTGGGAAACAGCATCGTGATCTGGATCGTGTTTGCCCACGCCAACATGCGGACCGTCACCAACTACTTCCTCGTCAACCTGGCCTTCGCCGACGTCAGCATCGCCAGTTTCAACACCATCTTCACCTTCACTTTCTCCGTCACTGGGGACTGGTACTACGGTAAGTTCTACTGCTACTTCATGAACTTCGTTCCCACCACGGCAGTGTCGGCGAGTATCTACACCCTCACGGCGATCTGCCTGGAGCGCTACATTGCCATCGTCCACCCGCTGAAGCCTCGGATGAGCAGAATGTGCGCCAAGTCCGTCATCGCTGCCATCTGGCTGTGCGCTGCCACCGTTAACGTCCCTCTGTGCGTGTATTCTCACTTCTACACGTTCACGTACGGAGAAGAGGAGTGGTCTGTCTGCCGATTCCAATGGCCGAATGACAACGTCCAGTTCTGGTAAGAGTCTCTTGTTTTCAGATCTCAGATCATGTCATCGTGAACCTTGCATATATCGAGCATGATGAAATTTTAAAAAAAGGACAATCTGACTTTTATGGACTAAAGCAAGTGATGAGTTAGAACACCATTGATGCAATTGTTTAATTTAAAACTCATGCGAGTAGACTAACTGCATCAGAACACACAGATATCTGAAACGTAAAAAAATGTACAATATGTCTACCTAGTATATTGTAAAGAGTATGCGTCAATTAAACATTTGATGTCAAAAATACCAGACCCGCCTTACTATATCTGCAGCTCTAAGTTAAGATAGTTGACATTAAAAAACTAAAGGAGCTTTCGCCCTCTAATTGCAGGTACGATGTTGGTCTGATGATCGTGAACTACTTCATGCCGTTGTTGGTGATGGCGGTGGCCTACACCATCGTGGGCTTCACCCTGTGGGCCGGCAAGATCCCGGGAGAGGCCACCCAGCGCCACGTGGAGCAGATGAAGGCTAAGAGAAGGGTAAGGTTCACATACGTCGTGCGATCGTCTTTTCTCTTTTCCTTATTTCGATGCCATTTAGCCCAAACGACAAATCTTCAAGGGCTCATACAGAATTTAAAAAAAAAACAGATATACGGTACAACAGATAACATTAAAAAGCACACATCTAGAACAAAAGGAAATTTACATTATTACCTTCGCCAAGAAGGTTATGTTTTCAGTAGCGTTTGTCCGTTTGTTGGTTTGTTGGTTTGTTTGTGAACAGCATAACTCAAGAAGCTTGATATGGATTGTCATGAAACTTGGTATGTGGGTAGGACTTGATGAGACCTAGAAATGATTAGATTTTGGGCCCCCTGGCGGCTTTTCTAGGTACTGCAGCTGAACTTCCGGTTTTGATATCTCATGTTCTGGACATGCTAGGGTCACGAATTTTGGTTGGTAGATAGCTCTTGGGATAGGGAAGAAGTGACATGAGTTTGGGTCCCCTAGCGCCTTGTTCTGGAACTGCAGGAGCATTTGTTGAAAAAAATTTGAAGGACGATAACTCAAGAACCGGTTGACGTATTGTTGTGATTTTTGGTATGTAGGTAGTTGAAGTGATGCTTGACATAATCAGATGGCAATTATGCAAATCAGGAGCTAATTTGCATAATTAATGAGGAAATTCTATAAATCTGCTTTGTTCGATAATAGAACTATGAAACACTAGTGACATCTACTTGAGAACGAGAAAAACATCTGAGGATATAGATTATGTAAATGAGGACCTAATTTGCATAATTAATGGAAAATTTTTATAATTCCATAGTTGTAACTGCTGCACCCCGAATTTCGTACTTGCCACATTTGGAAGTTAAGTGAAGGTGAACATCAATAAACATAATTTATTCAAATCATGACCTAATTTGCATAAATTATGAGGAAGTGCTATAATAGCCTTTTTGTTATGATAAGGCTGTCATTGGATGGAGAATATGATCAACTGATATAATCCATGCAAATGAGGCTCTTATTTACAAAATCAATGATTAAAATTGTATAATTCGTCACCCGCAAGGGTTAACATCATTTGGCGAAGGTATGAGGTCGTGGAACTCTTGTGTTCAAATGAAAGTACTAGTAAACTAATCTACATACTAGTCACAGAAGATTATATGACAGTCTTAAGCCTGTCACACATTGCTGAATGAGGCCTGGATGAATTTCCTAAGGAGTCAGACGTTTCAAAACACCCGCTACATTTCATTAGTCCTCGGAGAATTTATCCAATTGCTTGATTTGTTTTGTACAAAAGGCATTACCTAATGTTCTAGCTTTCTTCAAGGAAACATTCAAAAGTTCTGGGAATTAAAGACTTTACATTCTCATATAGTAAGAATAGAAATGAAAACAAAATCCTTCATTCACACGTACATAAAAATAAATGGGACGTAGTTGTGAGTGTTTTCGTCTGGTCTCTGGTTGCTTTCATGTAATAGTGGAATCACTGACCCTTTTAAAGGATCAAACAAATGAGCCACTACGTGCCCATTGCTTACCCTGTGAGAACTGTTATGGATTCAAACATGTTTCACGGTAAGTGCACACATCATTTTAATAACCCATGGGAAGCTTTGGGCTTTAAACTAAGTACTAAATAAGTATTTCTTTTTCTGATGGGAAATAAATTGAAGTTTCGGCAACAGTTACATTCCTGAGTCGTCACAAAATTTATGGGTGTAATGTGTAATATCAAAATATACAAACCAGAAAATAATTTAGATGGCACTAGATATTGGCATCTCAATGCCTTAATGAAAATAGAATTGTTCATTTGTCTCATATTTTCAACACACTGGATCTTAGTCATGAATACTGAAGGCACATCTGCTATATTGCTATATACGTCTCTAGATATTTAGCACAATAAGAGATGTCACACCATAATTGAACGACATGGCGGCGGGCGTAGTTATTTGTATTTCAGTGAATCAAAGCCCATACATTTCTAGTCATCTAGAGATCTTCTGACCCTTTCAAATAAGTTCTATCAAGTGTGTAACTCACAGAAGGGAATATCAGAAGAGAACATAAATGTTTAATAAAGACGTACGATTGAGCTACAGTGCATGAAATCAAGGACACATATCAGTAAGCATCTACCCGCTTCATTGATATTGAACGTGAGTAAACTCTTGTTGCACGTACCTCCATGAAAAATGGAGGTATTGTTGAGTAGAGAGACTCTTTTTACACAACCAAGTCTTTTATTCAGCCGACGTTTCGGTGACCGTCTGTCACCTTCCTCAGGGCAATTCTGACTGGTTCACATTGCATGCACAGCACAGGTGTCGCTGCTGCAGATGCATTCCCAAACGGTACTATATTTACAAATATGGGAATGCATCTACAACAGCGACATATGTGTTGTGCAATGTGAACCAGTCAGAATTGCCCTGAGGAAGGTGACAGACGGTTACCGAAACGTCGGATGAATAAAAGACCTGGTTGTGTAAAAAGAGTCTCTTTACTCAGTGTCGTACCAACTTGATAAAACTTTTCACGGATGGAGGTATTGTTTTTGTACTGTCCGATTTACAAAAGCTCTCACTGAATTTTAATGGAGGTATGAGATCTCCGAATTCTTGTTTATGATTTGTTTCCGTGCCAACAACATACGAGTTGCTGGCGACAAATTTCGATGGTGGATTTATGGTACTGACAATAAATCCTGGTATTATCACATGAAATATAATATTCACACAACCACAGGATATTGGGCTTACTTTTAGAGTAACATATGGCTGGGTTAAGAGGAACGGGAAAAGTTCCATAGGTTCTGCGCCGGCATACTCTCAAGAGGTATAGCTTGCGGCTATATGGAGTAAAAAAAAACATAATACCATTATCGCAGTGAAACAGATGCATATTGTACTGGAAAGAATGCAATACTAACAGCAAGAACCATGCACCCTCTGTGTCGACTTGTTTCTGATGAGACGAATAGGTTTGCGTTAAGTAAACAAAACTTTCCGTTATCTTTGCAATAACAAAACTCTCCTTCGTGTTGAAAATTAAACTCTCCTTTGCGTTACCTAAACTCTCATTTCGTTACCCAAACTGTCTTTAGTGTTAACAAAATTGCCTGTTAGTTTATGGTGCATAACTGAGGTACAAAGAAAGCAGTATAATGTACTTTCCAGTTTTTCCTTGAACCCCTAGGCAAAATTTCCGACTTTGAAGCTGTTTGTTCTTGTTAATCTACGCTATAACAACGTGTAGACAGACGTACCACAGTCACATACAAAGTGATTTATTCAGATCCAGTACACAGAACGCTTTATACGAAGGTTTATCTTCCCAAACCACATTGCCTCTCCGTATGAACGGTCTATTTAGGCAAAGACTGTTAGAATTACCTAGCATGTATCGCTACTATTAATAAACGTACCAAGCAGACTTACTTGAAATTTGTCACTTGTTTTAGTGATAATGCCGATATGCATGTACAGAAACCACTTATGGCCTGCAGCGACCAGACTTATCTGACATTTATTATCATTGGGGTAAATCTCATTTTTCGCGAAGCTGTGGTGTAAAACTCACCTTGACTCATACTATTTGGAGCTAGCTAAACCTTAAGTGCTTCAGGTTCGTCAGTATGGCATATATAGCCTCGCGAGCAATTTCAAGCATATTTATTTCACAGTGAAAACCCCCTATCGTAAATGGCCCGTACGTCGTGCAATAGCTTCTGATGGCTTTTAGCTCTTACCCCTTCCAGCGTTTTACGTACAGAGTATTCGTAAAGCCACATGGAAGTCACTGATGTAACCATTACATTAGCTCTTTACGACAGGCCAACATGACATTTTATACTTCCAGGAAGTTTGTGGGGTTTTGTTGATGGATAGAACTTCTTATAGAGAATTCACTACTGGTGGGAGATATGAACAAGTTTTGTTTTATTTTTTACTACTTCTAGGTACTGGAATAGTTTGGAGTGGCTGCGTCGTACTTTCTGGACGTTTCCGATTTTTGTTGTCATTTTCTCTGACAGCCCATTACGTTTTACGTTTGACATGTTAGTTGACATCTCTATTTCTTCCCAGTAAATTGAATTGTTGTTGTCGGTTTTATTACATTTTCGCATTGTTTGTTGTGAGATATTAGAACAATCTTGCTTAAGAATGTCAAAATGAAATAGCTTCGCTACTTTTTACTTTGGCATGTTATTTGACATCTCTATTTCTTCCCAGTACATTGAATTGTTGTTGTCGGTTTTATTACATTTTCGCATTGTTTGTTGTGAGATATTAGAACAATCTTGCTCAAGATTGTCAAAATGAAATAGCTTCGCTACTTTTTACCCGCTGTGCACCATTCCCTTCTCCCCACGTGTTCTCCCCTGTAATAGAAAACTTATTAGAAATCAAATACCGTTATTAATGCTTCGGGACGTACACTTGATCACCTTGTCAGGAATGATTTCGTCTCTTTGCTCAAACGAATTACGATCAATAATACCTGCAATCAGCGTAAAGAGCCACAAACTTGAACAACATTGCTTCACAAGCAGTTACTATTACTGTGAAATGATTTTTAATTTTTAATTGAAAAATACCAAAATGTCCAATGCACGTAGTAACTTGTCTTACTTGCCTTGCGCCTTCCTCTTAATACTGTATCAAAAGATAAAGGGCTGACCTAGGTTTTATCCAAGCTATCTTTCATCTTGTATATAATAAAGATTATTTTTAAACCCCTTAAATCTTGTCACAGTCAACAACCGGTGCAATGACCAAGTAGGTAGAGTGATCGCCTTGCATTCTTCGGTAGGCCATGAGTTCGATCCCCGGCCAAGTCATACCAAGGACTTTAAAAATGGTACATACTTCTTTCTCTGCTTACCAGTCAACATGTGGGATAGAGTATGGGAGTTAAACAAACACCACCACCAGTGGACTAGCCCCCTGCTGTAGTGATTGCACAACTATGTGGTCCAAGGGCTACCGAACCGGAGATGGGCACCGCCCTATGCACCACGTGGTGCGAGAAGGATTTTAACTTGACTAATCATAGACAATGTCCAACACACCGATGGTTTATGTGTGAGTTGTTGTTTTATTGCATCTCCCTTAGGTAGTGAAGATAAAAGTTGGTGATCGGCTTTATCAAAACAATATTTTATCTTCCGTAAACAATTTCATCAGGTTGGTAAACGACTGAATAGCAAAGTTCTTTTTATCACAACCATTTAGTTTTCAAGCCAACGTTTCGATGACCTTCTGTCATCTTCATCAGGGCAATTCTGACTGGTTTACTGTGCACTGACACTAGATGTGCACTAAAGAAGGTCATCGAAACGTCGGCTTGAAAAATAAATGGTTGTGATAAAAAGAACTTTGCTATTCAATATTTTATCTTGTATATAGTAGAGATGATACACCGATGATTTGTGTATGTTGTTGTTGTTTTACTGCTGTAGGTTGTGAAGATGATGGTGATCGTGGTGGTGACGTTCTGTGTCTGCTGGCTGCCGTACCACGTGTACTTCCTGATCGACTCCAGCTACAAGGAGTGGAAACACATCCAGCAGGTGTATCTCGCCGTCTTCTGGCTGGCTATGAGCAACTCCATGTACAACCCCTTCATCTACTGCTGGCTCAACAAAAGGTGAGACGTGCAAAGTTTCAACAAAATCAAAAGTACAAAATCACCCGTCCTTCATACCAATTCCGACGCGTATCTCCAGCGAAGACCCATTCGTGCCGTCCTTACTCTTCAAGCAGAGGTTTGGGTATTGGGTCATTTATGGCGTGTTTTTTTTGGGGGGGGGGATCGGGGTTTTTTTCTTGCTCTGGAATTTTGTTGGGGTTGGCGTAAAAGAATTCCAGTGCAAAAAAAATCCCAGTAAAAAAAAAAACTAAAAACACGCCCAAAATAACCCATAACCCAAACCTGTGCATGAAGAGTATGCCGTCATGGCATTTGTCCTTCTCGCTAATTACTAGTAGGTCAGACGCCCCGCCTCCTGTTGTAGGGAAAGTTTACCGCCAATCGCGTCGTTGAGTAAGGCCAAGAGGCACCGTGAGGCTAACAAGCGAGAATGTTGAATCGCTAATCGATATGACAGGGCCGTTGCCTAAAACAACCAACTCCTGAACACACTAATTTCACGGTGCTTACATTTAAATGTTACAATATTCTTGTCGTAAAAGCAAGCGTCAAAACGTTTAATGCATCAGGTGCATCAGGTAAATCTCATGTTCACTTGGCTTGAACTGCAAGTAACACAATAAAGATCTCTCACCTAGAACTTTCGACCAGTCAGTCTGGTCTTCCTCAGTAGACTGACCCAGTGAGACTTGTCGTGGCTTCTTTGAGTTGTGGAAGACCAGAGTGACTGGTCGAAAGCCCTAGGTGAGATATCTTTATTGTGTTGGATCTTAAGTTTTAACTTGAAACAAAAATGGAGCCTTTTCACTTGTCAACCTCACCTGGCTATATGATGTTATATGAGTATGTCGCTAGCACTACATGTCATGTGTAAATATAACGTCTAAACGCCAGTTTTGCACCCTGCAGATTCCGGTACGGGTTCCAGACGGCGCTGCGCTGGTGCCCGGGCGTCCCGTCCCCGAAGGACCCCTGCGACTCCAGCCTGAAGATGAACCGGTTCACCAAGAGCACGAGCACGCAGCTCAGCACCATGCGCGTCGTCAGCACCGTCCACAAGAGCACCTCCTCCAGTAGCCGTATCGCGCGCCGGGTTAGCGAGACCAGCGTCGTGTGAACGGCAAGGGACAAAACTACACATGTAGTCACTGAGTAAAGAGACTCTTTTTACACAACCAAGTCTTTTATTCAGCCGACGTTTCGGTGACCGTCTGTCACCTTCCTCAGGGAATGCATCTGTAGCAGAGACACCTGTACTGTACTGCAATGTGAACCAGTCAGCATTGCCTTGAGGAAGGTGACAGACGGTTACAGAAACGTAGGCTGAATAAAAGACGTGGTTGTGAGGGGATAACAATGCTGCGTATGCTTGGAGACTGCTGGCTACCCTCTGGCTGGCTTTATATACTAGTAATATGCTGAGATCATGATCACATTTCCTAACCGTGTCCCGGCCGAGCTGTTTGCATCAACGAAAAATTAACAATTCATATCAAGAATATAACACAATTGCAAATGGTACTCATCATTAGTTTCTAAAATTTTCTTTTTTTTTTTTCTTGTTTATCGTACCTTTCGTTCCCGAAAGCTGCCCAGTCGACGTCGGGTCCCGGTTTGGAAATTGGACCTCAGCATTACGGATCGCAAAAGCGGCTGGAAAGAGTAGAAATTGACCAAATAAAGACCCTGAGATAACATACCAGGGGAGTTGGTCCGGATCCGCTAGAGAGCTCGGGTTCGGCAAACTATACTCTAGCGAACAGGGGCCCGGGGAGTTGCCCAGGTATGTTTTCCGTCTCTCTGGCCAATTTCTAGCCTGTGTATACACAAGCTCTCGGCTGGAGGTTAATGACCCCCACCCCAAGAGCGGCAACCTAGGGCGGCGGCCGCCAGGAGCGCGATTTAGTCAGGCTAGCCAATTTCTAATTCTACTCTTTCCAGCCACTTCTCAGAGCCTGGTAGAGGGTAGCTGCAGGCTGCAGTAAACTGTTCTCTTACGCTCGTCACGCATTCACGACCTTCCCCAAATCAGCTGACCAGGTTCGGCTGATATTCGGGAGCAGTCTGACCAAATTTAGGCCTGACGCCTACCTTTCTATATGACTCGAATCGAAACACTGCCCCTAAGGAACTTCATAATAAATACATTGCGTTTGGGATGCGTTCATTCAAGTTTTCAATTCCAAACAATGGAGGAAAAAAATATCCAATATGAAGGTTTAATATTCTTTTCCCCTTGGGAGTTTCTTGTGCATCCAACCGAGATAGATATATGAACAGCCCATAGACTAGATTTATTGTTTAGCTTATATTAAAGACTATTGCACAGTTCATTTTGCAAAAGATAGCTGATGATATTTAATTTCAATGTACGTGGTGTACGTGCACTTAAATGTTTCCTCTACAAATCTATCGACTAGACAATTTGAGCCGTGTTGTCTTGAAAGTTCATCTGTGTTAGCAGAAGTCATAATGAAACAAGTTTGAACTGCAATTGGGGATACAAGAAAGTTGAGTCCAATTTCCTGTGTTGCCAATTGCAGTTCAAACTTGTTTTTCATAATTTGAGCCATGATTACTCTATCTGAGAGAAATCGAAGACAAGCAGTCATTATTTCTCCGCCAAGCCACCTGTGTCTGGTACATGTAGGTTTACAACGTCAAGTCAACAATGGCACCGTGAAATGTGAGCTTGTTTTGTTGACAGCTATTGTGTCACTTTACAGGAACTATCTGTCGTAGCATATACTCAACAACTGTCTATATATCATATATAACAAGAAATCAAATATTTGTTGATTATATTAGGCCTTTGTATCACAAGGCACTGGGATCAAGAAATTCCGGTGATGAAAATACATCGGTAACGCTCTTTTTCGCACTTTCAGTATACAAGTGCGCGAAATACAACATCAAATGGCAACCATTGGTTGAGCAGAGCAGTTAAGGTTTTCAAAAAAGGATAAGCTCCTACTATCCTTCTCATTGTTGAATGGGGGCCTATGTCGAAAATATCACTATCTACACAAGGTATATAAGGCTTACTGTAAATGAAAATGAACTACATTAGCATTGTGAAAAAGATATTGTGTCACTCTTAATATTGTATTTTGATGAAACTGACGTGTGTATTTAGTGGCCTTTTACGTACATACATTGATGATAGAGTTAACACGTTACGTTATTCAACTTTTACTCACTGGACTGGTGAAGCACAGTGCCAAAAAAAAAATAGAGGACACATGTAGTCTGCACTGTCAGACATTTTGGTGATTCGTTTGTGTATGTTAAAAGTCCTGTACATGTACCATGATAATACGATATTGTACAATGTAGTTTCTAAACAAAATCTGAACGAGTACTGGAGCTAGAGATACTTTTGGGACAACGAAATTGGGACATGGTAGAGTCACCTATTATACTGAGCAGCCAAACATTCTGATCGGGATCTCTACTGTAGTAGAATCAATCCTCAACCCTGACATGTATACAATGTATATGTAGCGAGAGAGCGTATGGACAGTTGATCTACATTTTGTACTAGTGATGTTTTAAATGTGACAGAATCGTATTTTGGTATGTATATGTCTTTGTATAATATGCAGATAAACGGACAGTGCCGTATGTATACTTAAATAAACAGAATGCAAAAGGGAGCTAGATGACCGAACAATTGCATTACGTGATTGTATAGCAGTTGCACAAAGGACCAAGTGAGTTATGTGTGCAAAGATCTCTTGAAAATGATGTAACTAAAAAATAGACAAGCAAGTAAATTGATGTCCAGAGATTGTATTTTTGTGAATTTTGTCACAGAGATGCTGTTTGCACTATTGTAATTTACACTACTTTAGATTGGTTGTTAGAAACTGTCACTGTGTTTGCCCTCAAAATACATGTAGTATGGTTAATATATAGTAACTGACTAGGGTCGATGATATGACCCGAATGTGGTGTAAATAAACATCAGTATGTAATGTCAAGTCTAGCCTTAAATTGTAGCTTGCGTTTGTGATAAACAGGACCGTATTAGTACATGTACGTCACGTCAGGATTAAAGGCATCCAATGCAATTTCGAGGCAGCAAAGCTTGATTCAGTTCAAAGTCAGTGCACACAAACTACGTCTAAAACACATAACTAATTATTTACAACCATAAATTCTCAGTCAAGTATGCATTTTGATGTAAAAATACATGTACTCCTGTTAAGATCCTTACACTTCCAGGATTAAAATTCTGTCTACAAAATTTTCAAAATACAAAAGTATAAAAAATCTATGAAAAAACACCCATTACCTTGAAAGAATTGAAATATGTAATAAATATAAAAGTTATGTGCAAACGCAGGTACAAATATAGAAGTCCAGGGATTTTCCCAGGATTACACTACCTTTAGCTAGTAAAAAATTGTGTACAGATATTAGGTACACAGCTCTACCCTGTACAACAGAGATCGTGGTTGAGAAGGTTGTTGTTTGAATCCCAACTTCTCAATAGTCCATTTTGGGTCCGTGAGGTTAGATAGTCTGTAGCCCTTTCCTGGACAGGGCTGATGTAGGGCGTGGGGAACTTCTACCAGTGTCTATGGCTGGACCTGGAAAAATGAGAGAAAACCAAAAGTCAAGAACATTTCTGAACATACTAGATACAGGACAACACTTTTCCGCCAATATTTTGCCACACTTCATGCACATAAAAGAACCCACCACACTTATTGAAAAGAGTAGGGGACCTTCCCAATGTGAGTGATTCAAACCTTACAGTCTGGTCTTACACACCTTGTACTAACATGTACATGTACAAAACTGGTGTTCTAAGCATAAAGGCGGTTTATAGGTTATGCAAAACAAACAAAAAATCATGGTTTCCATCATAATGTCCCACCTGCAGCAATGAACTTCCTCTTGATTGGTCCGCGCTGGACCTGGCGCGCCCTCTGTCCAAAGCCCAGGCACTGCAGGCTCTCGGATAGGTAACGCTGGGCTGGAGACACACAGCACATCACCAGCAGCTTTGCATCTCCACCTGGGTACACAGGTCAACAGGGAACAGCCTTGTTTAGAGTTGAATCTTTAGATGCAACACAAAACGTTCTCTCACCTAGAGCTTTCCACCAGTCACTCTGGTCTTCCTCAGATACCTTTGACCCAGTGTTGACGTCACACTTCAAAGAAGCCACATGACAAGTCTCACTGGGTCAGTCTACTGAGGAAGACCAGAGTGACTGGTCGAAAGCTCTAGGTGAGAGAACTTTTTTTGTGTTGGATCTTAAGTCTTAACTCCAAACATGTAACTTCCCAAACAGATGAACTTTTATGATAGACTTTCATTATCAGAAGAAGATATTAGATAGATATTCATATTTGTAATCAATGGTTATATTCATATGTACGTAGCATGCGTAGTCCACTGGTTAGTGATCCTTCCTCTGGAGTTTGATTGTTTGGTTGGGGAGGTACAAATTGAATGTAAAAGGCAGTGGAAGGAGAGGGATGGGCTCTGCCTTCCAATACCGTGTCCCAGATACAGTCTGAGTCACTTTAACAACTCATCACTGTTCCCACAGTCTCAAAAAGGCTATGGGACCCTTACCTTCAAGTACTAAGTTGAACCTACATTCATAGAACGTAGCAAGCTGTGACTTCACTCACCAATAGAGTCCTGCAGCATGTGAGTCAGTCTGGCGTTGCGGTAAGGCACGTGGGCACGGTGCTCCGCTAAGGCTCCAAGGACATCAGCAAGGGCCGATAGACTGGGCAGAGGAAAAAACACACACACCTCTCATGAACACATGAAACACTACTGGCTATTTTGCATATGGTGACTACTGAAGAAATATCCAGGCAGCACTCGACAAGAAACAGAATTTTATTGACACGGTCAACAAAAGTACAGCGACTTTCATAAGGTCTATAACTAGACATACAGACAGACACGTGGGTACAAAAGAATTACCTTACATAGAAGACTATAGATGAATCAACTTATACTATGTGTTAAATCTAAACCCACCTCTTGTTGATGTAGGATGTTTCCCTGAGGGCTGCCCCTGTCACCCCGGACATTCCTGAAACATACATTAGAACTTTCAGAGTTAGGCATGTGGTACGTGCTGCTGCACAAGTGGAGTTTGATCTGAATTTTCTGAATATACATCTACAGATAAAATACAACATGATAACAGTATTCTGTATTCCAACGTGCAATCCAGTATTTGAATTTCATAAGTGGCGCACGCGACGCAGCTGAAACTTTCGTGAGGTTGGTGAATGATTGTATTACTGAATAGCAAAGTTCTTTATTCACATCAACAGTGATGACGATGAAAGGCAGTCATCAAAACATCGAGTCTTGTTACAAGTGGTTGTGAATAAAGAACTTTGCTATTCAGTAATACTAATAGATCTGCTTTTCTAACATGCAGATAGGACACAAATACATCCTAAAATAGTTTCATCAGATTGGTAGAGTATAGGATATAGGGCTTTTCTTTTACACAACCAAACTTGTTCTCGTTGCAAAAGCACCACCTACATCGGCTATATATAGCGGCAAGAAGCAGAACTCCAGTCAGAAGCTCTGAGGAAGGTGTCTGACAGACACTGAAATGTATGCAACAGTTTGGTTGTATAAAAGAAAACACTTGTATCCCATTTACTCTTGTTACAAGTGGTTGTGAATGTGACCTGTCCTTGGTGCTGAAATGGTGGTTACCTTCCAAAATTCAACTTTGATATTCAGTAACTTTTGTAACATTTAGATTGGACACAAATACAGTTACAGTGTATTTGTGTTCAATCTACATGTTACAAAAGTTAATGAATATCAAAGTTGATTGAACACAAATACAGTTACAGTGGCACCAATGATGACACATGTCCCAGTCAGAAGCTCTGGGGAAAGTGTCTGACAGACACTGAAACGTAAGCAAGGTAAACAGTTTGATTGTGTAAAACAAAACTCTTGTATCCCATTGAGTCTTGTTACAAGTGGTTGTGAATGTGACCTGTCCTTGGTGCTGAAATGGCAGTTACCTTCCAATATTCAACTTTGATATCCAGTAACAAATCTGCTTCTCTAAAATGCAGATAGGACACAAATACAGTTACAGTGGCACCAACAACGTCACATGTTACCTACCCACACACTCGCTCCCAGCCAGGTCCACCAGTTGTAGTTTGGTCTTGAAACAGTTGATGGGTGTGGGAGGTCTGGCCGGGGAGGGTGAGCGTGACCTGGTCTTGCTGTGCATGTGGTGTGGGATGGGGGAGGGGGAGGACGGCACAGGAAGGGTCCTTCTGCCACGTTCACTCTTCGGTGGAGCAGACTGGGGAACTACAGGGAATGATGACTGGTTTATTATTCACATAAACAAATACATAGACATACATGTTTAAAGTCAGTGGCAGCCTAAATGGCTGAATTGAAGACTTTTTTACAATTTAAAATCTTTAGAAAACTATCAATTGAGATTTCAATACAAACACTACATATACATAGAAAATACAATATCAAAAGTACAAAAAGCCTGTTCGGCCAGTACAACAACCAGTATGTTACAGAACTTGTGTATCGTTCAGCAACTGAATGAATATGTTACACAAGACATTATGTTAGATATTATACAAGTTAGCTTGCATTACTTTTGGTAAAGTAAAACAATGTGCTACTTGTGTTACTTATGTTAAAGTCTGCTAATTCAAAAGTCTGCTATTTTCTTTGTGCATGTACTTCAAAGAATTTCAATTTTTTCCATTGACTTGACAGATTGGAGGGACTCCAGACAGTTCAAGACCAGGAAACCCCAACCTGATGATGATGATGATGGCCCCCTTTAAAAACAACAGAGTTGAATAGGGCACCAGTTACCATGGTAACAGATGTCTGGTCTAGGTCATTGACCTTATGTGTTTGGAGAAGAGGAAACTGAGCAAAAACAATATGTTTTTCTTCTGCGAAGGTGCACATAATATTAGCACGCTCACCAGCGAACACGTTGTAATGGCACCAGTTACCATGGTGACGGACGTCTGGTCTAGGTCATTGACCTTATGTGTTTAAAGAAGAGGAAACTGAGCAATATGTTTTTCTTCTGTGAAGGTAAACATAATAAGCATGCTCACCAGCGAACACGTTGTAATCAGTGATGGGTGATGTTGGCGTGACAACGCCACTGTTGACGGTGACCGTCAGCGTCACAATGAGGTGTGAGCGGCTGGAGTGGGAGTGGATGAGCGTGGCGTCTTCAGCGCGGTGTTTCATCCCGTACTGTACCAGCTCCATAACCTGCTGTACTCCCTCCACAGTCCTAAACACAACACCACGTACAACAGTTATGTACAGTATAAAACAGTATAAAACAGTTAGTACTGTGTACTTGTTCGCTGAATCTAGTTCTGGACTAGTAAAAATTTTTAGGTTCAAGTACAAAAAACGTGAACGTCTGGAACTAGTCCGGACCTGAACCTAAACCTCTGGACTTGAATCCGGACCTGGACCTAAACGTGGTTTTAGATACACAGCAATAACAGAGCGTATTCCGTATCATCTGAAGTACCAGCCCGACCACGGGTCGGATCACCCAAAGGGCAATCTAACCAGCAGCCAGACTGGGACTGAGGGAGATGCTGAATACACTGTGTTGTATTTTTATTTATGTCATACCCACCCGAGAAAACATCTGTCTAATAATTATTGTAATGATTATACATGTAGTTTGTAAACTAAGGACTATTTTAACAATGTACAGTGAACCAAGCACTGAAAGGACCAATTATAGAGACAATTTAGCTGTATGTAGTACTATAGTATGTAGGTTGCAAAGTCTACTCCCCAATTACTGATACTGGTCCTACCTGTATGTGAGGGAGGGCACGTCTAACGAACCATCACCAGCTGTCAGTACGTCGTGTTTCCTGTCGTCCCCTCCTAACAGGTCCCTGATGTCGTTGTTGTAGATTTCAACCACAGACACCTCAACAGTGTGTGTATCAGGGGGCTTCTCTGCAAGCAGTCTGTGGGAAAAACACACATAAAAGTTCATTTCTTGGAATAGCTGGTGCACCTAATGTGAAAAATTTAGGTGCACAGAAAGCACCGTGAGGCAACACAGGCATAAAATTCATGTAGGCAACAACAAACGTAGTTTCCATATGAACACCTCCCAACCACAGTACTTGATATATAAATAAATCATTATTGTAAAGAAATGGGAACTGAAGTGGTATGGCCACGTGTCACAGTCATCAGGACTAGCCAAAACCATCATGCAAGAAACAGTCCAGGGACTGAGGGAGGATGGAAGGGGTAGGCATCAGAAAAAGAGGGGTAAGCAACAGTAAAGATGGGAGGACAATATCAGAAAATGGACCAGCGTAACATGTGCACTAAGTGAAACAGTAAGAGGAACAGAGAACCAAGATTGAGGGCAGAGAAAACTGGTTCTTGTCAGATCATCTGTGGTGTCCCAACGGTCAAATAATTGGACTAACTAGTATACTAGTATACTACAAGAAAGCACAACATACTAATAATAGAATAAAGTAGAAAACCTGTGTCAATGCTGACCTGAATAGTTCTCTTGTAGCTTTAGGGATGACCCCTTCTTGTGGGTTGTGCTGTTCCTCGTTGTGATAGCCGTAGTCCTTAGACTGGGGAGGGCCCAACATGGTGTGGGTCTTCCCACTCCCTGTCTGTCCATAGGCCATGATACACACGTTGTACCTACATGTACAACACAAACATCCAGAATTGTTTCAAGATATAGCTTACAGTTCATAACTTTTTGTATACCACTACATGTATGTTTAACTTTAAATCATTTTTGTTTTCTTTATATGATGCTTGAGCTAGTGCTTGTAAATATAATAAGAATCAATGTTAACTATACGCTGATAAAATGTTGAAGAGTAACTTCTAGCTAAATATAACATGTAGTGTAAGTACCATTTCCTGTACAAAAATGTATTGAATTGTATACATGAACACAAGGATTCTAAATGTACAGTAATGTTTGTCTGTGTTACCAATAGAAAAATTCAGCACTTACAAGTACATGTACTTACCCATCTAAAAGCGATGTTAAGAGAGGTTGAACCTCCTCAAACACTGCATCCTGACACTCCAGAGGGGCGTACACTCTACATACAACAAACCAGAGCTAACAGTTACTAACAAAAGTCTTCATGCTATGCAGAATAAAATCTGTTAGAAGGATGTGACAGGCTCATTATATTAGTTTCTATGCTACAAAACCCCACACAATTTGATTAAACTTTGATTGTGCTTCATTGAACCTAGCTGAGCTAGACGTATATATGTACTTGTGTACTGTATAATGTTATATGACTGCAAATACTGTAATACTGTAATTTGTATCTGGTTCGAGTCAATAATTTTGCTCCTTATACATTGGACCTTGGGAAAAACATCTTTCACAAGAAAGGGTCTTACCTTTCATATTCAAAAGCCTTGGTGCCCTGTCCTGGTCTACTGCTGGCTTTTACAACTACAGTTTCCTGTAAAAACAGAAGAACAAAAAAAGAGATCTGACAATAGAAAATGTTACAAACAAAACCAGTTTTACATCAGTAATACTATTTTGAGATTGACAGAGAGAGAGAGAGGGAGAATATTCAATGTAGGAAGGCAATAGAACAACAGATACAAAATACTGTTTTATGGATGATCTTATTTGCCTGTTTTTGTTAATTGATCAGCAGACCAAGCTTCCATTATAAATGATGATGAAGCATCTCCCATAGCAGTTCTATGGCAGAATCTTAATTTGAATCTTTCACACCTGTAGAAGTTTGGGCATGTTTTTATGTTATCTATAAGAGTATAAGGAATAAGGATGTGCCACTTACGTCATCAACAACATGTACAACTTGTTCTGACAGTGTTCCTTGTCTGAAAACAAAAACAAACAAACAAACATAAACAAAATACACTGTATTACATTGCAATCAGACAGCACTAAGATTATCTTCAAGGCCATCACAATAATTTACAGAGTAAACATCAAACCAAACCTAGCGACCATGACTATTATTGGATTAAAGGCATATCTTTTATACTATAATTATAGGCCAAGCTTGAAGTCCTTAGTTTTTTTTAGTACCTTCCAAGGGTACTTGTTTCGTCACTGCCAGTGTCAAAAGGCATGAGCGGGCGCACACGACAGTGTACGCGGATGTTCCCGCGCAGTTCCACCAGCGTGTTGTGTAGCATTTGTCTCCGCTTCTTCTCGCGTGCGTGCCGCTCGTTCGCAGTCGCAAGGGAGACTTCCAGCTCCTGAATTCTCTTCTGCAAGCCTGGAGTGGGAAACAGCATAAATAAGTAGTATAAAGAAGTAGTACTTAAAGTACATGCAGCACGTTGGCAGAACGTACTGCACCTGCGCGAAACCCGTAATGTATTATGCGTAGCACTTCAACAGAACGTCTCATATACATGTAAGGTCGTATTTGCGTCTATATTTAGGTTAACATCCTGTCTGTAGTTTCCAAATGTTGTGTTGGACAAGATACCGTCTGCAACAGGCAAAATTCTGATGCAACGTTGACCAAATATCCAACCAAAACTGAGAAAAATTCGGGTTTTGTGCAGGCGCAGTGTGTTCTACCGACGTGCTCTTAAATGCTTTCGGAGTTTTGTATTTTTTTTTCTGTCAGAAATGTAGACTATAGAGAGTGTTAAATTACATACCTTCCAGTCCTCGGTTTTCAGACAGGAACATCCTCTGTACTTTGAGAGTCTGTCTCTTGAACCCCTCCAACATGAGGGCCATCTCTGGAGGCATCTGTCTCATGGCTGCCTTCATGGTAGCCAAGTCCTGCTTCAGAACCTGCACAGAGAAGTTTACTTATTATGGGCTGATTCCATCTTTTCACAATCAGCATTCAGTCAACTTCAAACAATCTTCACTTCCTGCTGTTTGGGAGCATATAAGATACTAAATGCATATATCATATTGTGGTGGTACCACAAACTAACTGAGTTTGGCACGTGTGGGCATTAACCATAATGCTAAAATGTAAATGTCAGCATTTAAACCATAAATGCCAGGAATGTGAGATAACTGTACATGTACAATTTACAACAAATATGTTGAAAGCTGGAAGGGAATGACGATCACACAATTATTTTTCAATTCAAATATTTCATTTTTTAGTGTAAAATGTTACAGAATACAGATTTTTTTTCAATTTGAATGTTTCAATTGTTGGTAAAAAATGTTACAGAACGCTCCTTTACTATTGCTAACCTTGACTTGTTTGGACAGGTCTATCAGCTCCTGTGAAACCCTTTCCTTGTAGTCATGGTCCAGTTTGATCATCTGCAGCAGTCGTGTGCTCTTCTGTCTCTCGTGTTGAGCACTTCCCTGGCACTGAGACAGCAAAAAAAATAATAATCAATGGTGGAAACTGAAAAATGAGAACTTATCCAATCATTGGGAAGGAAGCTGATTTCAAATTTTGGTGCAAAAATGAGTAGTACTCTGAGTCTGACTGTACCCACCTGTGCCAACTTGAGATACAGCATGGCATTCTCTGTTTCCAGGGCTGCAATTCGCTCATCTCTCTGCTGCAGAAAGGCAAGTTAAACTCACAGTTATCACTACATCTACAGTAACTGTAACATTTGACTGTGGCTCCCATATGCATGCACAGTTGACCAAGTCAGAGTGGAGGCCTACCTATCGTAGCATTCCTCCCCCCCCCCTCCAACTTTGCCTCTGGTGGGGTTATGTGGGCTTAACAAGTATGAAGTTGAAGACATCTTAACTATTGTACAATGTAATGTTACATCCAATTAACAAAGCTAGTAGTACTGAGGTCTGTTACATCTACTTATTAGCCCGTATAATATAAACTTATACTTTTTACTTGTTGAATGAAAAATCATTTTTAAAATGTGTTACAACTACTAATGTTATAGTACTTAAATGCAGGAATTTGTAGCTTTGAGTTTGAGTTCAAGACAACATGGTATAAAGACAATATCATCTTAAACTCACCCGAATAGTCTGCTCACTTCTCTTCACCTTCTCCTCCAGAAAGTCTGATTTGTCCACCCCAAGAGGCATTGTTCTGGGCTTCTGGTTTGTTGTCGACAAATCTTATTCTTCAACCACTAAATGTTCAGGTGGTGGGGAGAATCACAGCAATTAGTTAGACAACAATCACATGATTTTACCAGGTGACAAAACATTTGTTTGTATGTTTGTTTGTTAGTTTCATTCAGATCACCATTTTATAGTGTCGTTAACTGAGCATAATTCACACCATACTTCCTGGAGTCCCTGACAACTGTAAAAACACATAACAAAAGTTAAAGACATTGATAAAGATAATTGGACAAAGATATTGATATGCAACATTCTAAACAACAAACGCGTTTACACAAGTTAACTGTTCTGACAGCTTTACAACATATCATAACTATTGGGGGGATATTGGGATAGGTTGGCATTGAACTTCAAGAAGAGTGATTGATATCACTTGAAATGTCCAGAAGGTATCACTGTATTTTATCTAGTAGTAGAGTTTGATTTATTTATCTCTCAAGTATTTTGTTTACCTGGATGTTTTAGTAAACTGTCAGCATCGTAAAGCATATACGAATATGTATTAGTATGGTTTCACGGGATACTTTTTGTAGCAAGCTGTATATAGCGTAGTTTGGTGAAATATTTTACTCGCAAGTTTATCTCATCAGATTTCCTTGAACAATATTGTTAGAAATGATCTCAGAACCAAGTCGCAACCGCCCCCCTCCCCCTTTGTCTAGCTACAAGTTTACAACTTTAACAACACCATCATAATATCGACCCCCGATCGGTTTACGCAGCCCATACTTACTTGACGAAAACTCAACTCTATCACAGACACATCCGAGAACTTAGGCTGTGTTTCAGCTCAGCTAGGAGGGAAATAAGCTCACACTTCTGCAAGACTAACGATCCAAAATATCCGCTGGCGTCGAAAATCGTCATGGCGCCCGCCCCGCCACTCTCGTTCCCATGGTTCACACGGTAATCTCCAAGCAGATGTTGGGTGAAACGTCGTGAATTTTTCTGGACCGGTCATCAGTTTTTCTGACTTTCTTCCTGCCGATAAAATATTACGGTTTTCCAACGACCCACAGTTTTATACTAACAAACAGTCCCAGGTTATGATTCCTACGAAAATAAGCCTGTACTACCAAGTAAAATCTGATAGAGGGCCTAAACCATGCCAATACCACTTATTCCCAAGTCATGTTATGTTCAGTACACAAAATACCAAAGCCAGAGCAGCGGTTTCACGTCAGTATAATATAGAAAGCCAGGGCACAATAATATGATTTCTTCTTGATCTTGTTGACACCTGTTATTAGTGTTAAATATCATAAGCTACTTAGTATAAGAAGCTTCTCCAGCTTTGCTGCTAAACCACAACCACAACCACGGCAAAAAATATAACCTCTTTATGAATGTAAAAATTGTTCTATCGTCAAAATGGTTTCCTTTAATGTTAAAAAAGGACCAAACAATGACGAATAGCCAAGACTGATGACAAGGTTTTATTGTGAAGTTTCTTCTTTTTAGACATGATCTTATTTGTAATACTCGTGGGATTGTTAACAAATGTGCCTTCATGATAGTGGAAGGTCAACTTCAAGGTTGTTTAACGGACTATGTAATTCACTAGACATACAGCAGGCATAATTACCCTCAAAAGCAAGTTTTAACTGCTTTAAATTCACAAAAACATACTGGTAAATGGTTTCATACCTTAAAACTTTGGCCTCTGTATGAGACTTACTTTCATAGAATTGATAATACCAAGGGGTAAATTTTGATAATTCAAATGTTCCAAAACTATAACATATTATTATAATAATACATCTTGAATCTGGGTTGATATAAAGAAAATACATAATACTTTTGGTCAATTAAAGTTTTAAAGTAAATTAAATAAATCCTTCTGCTGTTTTTTCTCTAGAAAAAAAAAGAAACTTTGTTAATTTATAGTAAATTTACAATATAGTTCCTTTTACAAAGTACATAATAGGTCAATAAAAGTTAACCTTATGCACAGTCAGTTCATAACTGCTGAGAAGAAAAAAAGTGGCTTAGCAAAGAATATCATCATGTTCTTTGTAAGATATGAATGCCACAATGCTTTTATCAATTTCAAACTAAATTGTGGGAGAAATTAAATGTATAAACTGTGTGCTTAGATAAAGGGATCGTCATTTTTTACAGTCACTGCATTTAAAGTCAAAATATACATGTACACCTTACGAATCCTCATTTTAATCATTATAGTATGGAACTATAATTACATCATGATTATATGACACCGTTATGGTGTCATGGCTTTATAATCTACAGACTCTTTCCTATCAGTTATCCCATCTGCCCCTGCCTCTTCCTCGTCTGACCCCCAACCCTTGATCTGTGACCCATGCCCTTTGCCCTCTGCCCCCTGCTCCCAGTCCTGGCCTGCCCCCTCCTCATCAGTAGAGTCCTGGAAGTCTGTGTACATCTGGTACACGTAGCTGAACAGTTCCACGGCTGGTCTCCTGGAGGTTTTGGCACTGGTTCTGTTGTAGGACTGGATCACATTCCACAGATCACCTAGAAACACAATAGATAAACCATGTTAGTCATGTTTACCGAAGGAAAACATATTGTTTTTGCTCAGTTTCTTCCTCTTCTTCTTCTTCCGTTCAAAACAAATAAGGTCAATGACCAGGACCAGACGTCTATCACCATGGTAACTGGTGTAGGGTTACATAATGTTGCTGGTGCCATGCAGAACTGAGTTCAAGAGGGGCTGCATGGTCACCATACATGTACCAGGTATATGTGTGTTTGAGTAAGAATAAACAGTTTGTTGAGCCATGTGGGCCATGTGAAGGTAAACATGATGCATTTGCTTTTTAAATGTTACCTTTCTAGTTTGCTATTGTTTTCGTTTATAAGCTCCACAAGCCACAACATTAGGGGCTGACATAACTATTGTGTTGCAGGGCCCAAAATAGAAACACGATAATATGAAGGAGGACCATTACCAACTGTAAGACTGTTTGCTTCTGCAAATTCGTGCATCTTATACAGGTCTTCTGCCAGCTGTGCATCCCCGAAGGTGAAGTATGCCAGGTCTCTCTTGGCTACTGCTGATGCCATCATCTGGATTAGACCTACAGTAACACAGAATAAGGTTAAAGAACTCGAAGGTAAGAAGTTACTACAAGTAAACATTGAAGGCAACCAGGACAAAAAAGCTCTAGAGATGATTCAAATTGGCACAACTGCACCAAATTTAAGATTAATCTTCCTTGTACATGTGCAATTTGCGCATGCTGTCCTTTTTCACTATCTATTCTAATGTGGACAAGAATGTTGTGCCATTTAATGATGACAGTGAAAAAGTTGAAGTCATACATGAACTATTCTAGAACCTAAGGAGATATGATATTCCTGTTAATAAGATTATTAGTATTACACCAGCTTCACTAACCCTTTATTCTAGGGTCACCTCCAAAAGCACCACACCCCCAGTTGCCTGTTGCTATAGCTGACAGGTTGCTAGGCAACACGTCTGGCCTGTAGAAACCGCAAAATGCCTGCAACAAAAGGAAGAACAATTTGACATCATCAAGAAAAAAAACACAAGAAATCCTAAATTTAACAAGAAGCCATAGGTGACAATTCTCCGTGAAGTATTATATATTGCAACAAAAAGAAGTAGCCATTGGCGACAATTCTCTGTGAAGTGTGATAAATTGAACAAAGAAAAATTGTTTAAACGCGCGTCGGCTCAGTCATCTTAAGACGCAACAACCAATCAGAGATGCGAGATGCCTACACGTGACGCGGGAAGGGCGCGCGATGCCCGAAATATTTTTGCGTCAATATTCAGCGCCGTGATTCAAGAGATTAATACCCGGAAACAATTTTTTTCTTGTTTTGAACGCATTAACATGCATTTACGCTAATCTAGTATGATTCAGGGTTACTTTTTTTTTAACCTGCCATGGCCAGATTATCTAAAGATGTGTGTATTGTGTGTACAATCTATAGAAAGAGAAATGTACATCAGGTCCGATCATCCGATTTTCACGTTTCGGTTTTTTGGACTCGGTTCATGAACGTATTTTGGTTTGGCTCCTGGAATGTGCAAAAAAATGACTCCCGGGACTGTCTACAGGGAACACTCGCACATTCGCGGTGTATCAGGACAGCGCGACTGGTCGTCATTAGCGCAGTAACAGTTGCATAAACGGACGAAACCATTTCAAAGAAATGGGGATGTTTCGAAAATAAGCATTTACTCCAATATCAAAACAGCTACGGTAAAAATAAAAAGACGTGCATCATCCCGGACATAATGCAACACCACATGCGAAATTACACAGAAATGCGACGTACGGAAGAATGCGTTTTGGCTGCGAACATCTTCCAAAAAACTTGGCATCTCTTAACCATGGGCAAAAACATCTGGAACCACTTATAAAAACCACCCCGTATCTGCATGAACTTTTTTGAACCCCACTGCTATTCCAAACAACGCGTTTTTCTGGACCATTCCAATTCGCCTCGTAATTGTAGGGGTGCGTCTGCGATATTACATTGACCGCGAAAGCAGCAACGGCAAAAATACACATTCGTGCATCAACACGGGCATGCCCGCAGACGGCGTATAAAATTGCGTACCGATTACACAAAGAGAACCCAGTGTTTTGACTGCGAACATGAAAAATCAGCCGATCACAACACTCCGTCCGGAGGTCCTGACCTCCTTCACGGAGTAAAAAGAACAAAATAGCATTGTTCCAATAGGATAGACAAATACTGCTTAGGATATTGTATGGAAAGAAAATCTGCAGCAACCAACATATACTACTTCTAAAAGAATGACATTTTTACAGAGATAATGTTCCTGACCTTATCCAGCTCTCTCTTGACCATACCAGGAGTACACTGTTCTGTATATGTCCTGTACTTCAGAGCATCGATGGCCACTACCTCTGTACACCTTCTGCCCCATGTGTCCCTGAAATTCACCAGAAAAACAAAACTTCACCTTTTGTGCTTCCATCTGAGAGCATTCACAGACAAATCCTTTTACTATATGTAGTTTGACAGTCGCATATTAAGCATCATAACTGCTAAATTTGGAATTATTTCATAATGTGAACAACTAGAAACTACTAGAAATGTAACATTTGCAAAGCATAATGTTTACCTTTGCACATGGTCTGCTCTGTTAATTCTTAATTAAACACAATCATAAACATGGTGACATGAGTCTAAATCCCTCCTGATATAAAACTGCAACATGATGTAACCCAACACTAGTTACCATGGTGACAGATGTCTGGTTCAGGTCATTGACCTTACTTGTTTGGAGAAGAAGAGACAGAAGAAACAGAGCAAAAACAATATGTTTTCCTTCTGCGAACTAAACATAAATAGACAATAAAGTTAGAAGTTGCACCTGGTTGTCTGGTCCTGATAGTCACCTGCCCATTTGTAGGTGTCTGAATACCCCTCGTAACAGCTGTACTGCTCTGCACCTGCAAACAACAAGCGCAGGGTTTAATGATTTTACATTTTGTATTTCAAATAAATGTCTTGAACAAATGCAAGACTAAAAAGTAAGGGTCCTTCCCGGTGTGAGTGGTTCAAACCTTACAGTCCAGTCTTATGCAGCTTGTACTTACATGTAAAAAAACTGGTGTGTTACACCTGAAAAGGCAGTTTACTGGTTATGCGAAACAAACAAATAAAAAGAGCTGTTTTCTGTGCTTGTCAAAAGAAGTGCAGGTACTGTATTTCCTGACAAATTGAGCCTGTATATACTGTACATAGCTTCTGTCACTGGTAAATGATTACCTTTCTAGTGAGCTGATCTGGTTTGTGATACAGTACTTGGAGGAAAAAATTTTCTATTATGGTAAGTAACAATTACTTGATGAAAATTTTATTTGTCTTTTTGAGCATCTCTTTTGTCTTTGTCAGGTATTCTGGCCCTGCCACGCTTCATTTGTGATCAAGACCAAACATGGTCAACAAATTGGTGTAAGACTTATAGTAACATTTGACAGTGTCCTGGAAAGATAGCTCCAACTGCTATCATTGACAGAAACAGATACTCACCGATGATGACCAAGCATTCGTCTGCCTCTAGTGTTTCAGTGAAAAGCCTGGATAGGATCATCTCTGGGCAGATTAGGAACCTAATCTCTTCCTGCACTAATCCAAATCCTAGTACACCTCCTCCTATGACTTTATTAGCAAAGTCAACCTGTAACACATGTCACACTGGTCACTTAAAATTAGAAAAAAAATCATAAAATTTCAAAAATTAAATTAACTTTAAGGGCATTTATTTCAGGTGGTACAGTAAAATAAAGTCTACCTCACTATGTCTTAGAAAGATCTTTATAAAAAAAGATACTATAGAAACATTTCACTCTAAAGTAAATACCTTAAGTCCTTATACATTGAAACTAACAAGAATTTATTTTTTGATAGAAAAATAGAGCAGGTCTGTGGTGGTTTGTGGTGGAAAGCTGACATACAATGTAAAGGCTGACTCTTGTCAGTGCCCCCCCCCCGAAAAAAGGCTACAGTTGGGGGGTTTGTTAGGGTTGGTTGGGTAAAAACACAACTTTTTTCTAGGCCTAAGGCAAAAAATACCAACCTGTAACATCCCTGTACCATCCTCCTCTATAGTTCCTTCAGCTGAGACATGGAGCCTGGTCAGCCTGTCCTTACAGGTCGTCCACACCGGCATTTTGGGGAAGGACTGTCGACGGAAGGTCAACGTTCCACAGGGCACTGGGAGAACACAGGAGGCAAAGTTTTCCAGGTGCCAATACAAAAATACTACAATACACAAGACAGAAACTTTCTGATATTACAGATTCAACTTTAAACATAACTCAGTCTCTTTCATATGCATGTACCTGAAAGAGAAAACGTATACAACGACATCACATATATAAGATGCATTTTGTTTGTACAGTTTTACCCTGCCCAAGTTAGACAGCTTAACAGGCGTATTATCCAAACATACAACACTACAATTACACACGCACACCTGTACCTACCTACCTACCGCTCCACCGCATATCAGCTACTGCTGAGGCGGGCCATCATTGCTTTCCATCTTCCTCTGTCTTGTGCTGCTCGCACACGCACACACACACACACACTCACTTACTTCTTGTGGTGACTCTCTTGAAGTAGTGCAGAAGTGTCTTGAGCTTCTCTGCACGTCTTCTATCCACCCCATGTTTCCCTCCTTTAAACAGACTGAACAACAAAAGCAATGTATATGTTTGCTACTCACATTTTGTATAAAGTGGACAGAAAGGACAATATTTCAGCTTCAAAAAGATAGCCTGTATGACATCATAAACTACTAGTGTGTGGAAAGATTGTAAAATATAGAGGAAACTGGTCATGAAAGTTCATCTGTGTTGGTAGTTACATGTTTAGAGTTGAAAGTTTTGTTCCAACACAGAGTTGTTCTCACATAGAGTTTTCGAACCAGTCACTCTGGCCTTCTTCAGTAAACTGACTTAACGAGACTGGTCATGGGGCTTCTGTGAAGTGTGACATCAACACTGGTTCAAAGATATCAACCGCGACGAGGGCCGACATCGTTTACCAGATACCTTTGACCTAGTGTACACGTCACACTTCAGACAAGCAACGTGACAAGCATCACTGGGTCAGTCTGAGTGACTGGTTGAAACAAAAGTTTTAACTTAAAACATGTAGTAGAACTTCTTTCTGCAGTACTCACTCATTAAAGTTGATGCTAGGAAAGGAGGAGTATTCTGAGTTCCTCTGGTAGGCGTTTCTTCGTGGAAAGGTGCAGAAGAAGGCATTGGATAAAAGAGAGGCCACCTGCAGCTGGGACAGGGTGATGCTGTGTCTCATCTGCTTCTTCAGTAGTGGGGGGCTCTGTAATCACAAAGAAACAGGAGAGTTAATAAAAGGTCTAAGAGCTAGAGACAACTATGCTCTACACTTTAAAAGGTTAGGAACTACGTGCTACGTTGTGTCATCACCCATGAGAATGTGTTATTGCTTAGAAGCAAATAATCTACACAACTTTTGTACCATTGTACAATTCTAGTACACCTTTACGCGTATTATTAGTTGTAGTAGGCATCCCTTCATCTCAAGAGATGATGACAGCACTCTAGGCCTGGTATAATTCAATTGTACTGTAATATATGAAAAGAGAATGTTTTCTCACCTGCGTTACAATCTCAGGTAGTCTAAGAGCTAACTTCACCATAGCAGGCAGGGTCACTTTGAAGAAACTCCGAGCTTCATCATCATCTAAATACTGTTCAAACACATGAAGATAACAAGACTTGGTGATGTTTAAGATCTTCTTACTGGTATTTATCCTTGGCTTCATTATAGCATGCTTTAATGTGCACTTTCAAGCAAATAACATGCTTGTGTTACAGCAAACAGAAGAGTGAAAAAGACCACTCTGTACCATAACAGAAGTCATTGAACTTGTTAGAAATGCTTTCAAAAATCAATAAAGTCATACATGGTGTTATTACTCCTTAGGCCACATCAATTTAATTTCTTGGTTAACGGATTCGCCGCTTCATTTTTTTCTGATTTGCAAATAAAAATAAAAATTCAGAATCAACTGCAAAATGGTCATATTTTTCCCTGGACAGTTGAAAACAGTCCTTTTCTTACTACTTGTTACAGTCATTCCATCTTTCAATGCAGTGGTATCATAAAAAGTTCAAAATTCATTGTTTAAATTTTGAACCAGCCTGGTGTGTTGACTTCATAGCTCCTATCGTACCATTTTGGGCCATAATAGGATGCCTAGGCCTGTTTTTATTTTTTTATTTATTTTCGCCCGCCCGCTCCATTTTTTTTCCTAGAAAAATCCGTTAACCAAGAAATTAAATTGGTGTGGCCTTACCAAACCTTAAGACCTATGATCACATACCTCTGTAAAGAATGAGTGTAGTCCTCTGAAGTCCCATCTATTGGCATATCTGGAGTTGTATGTCAAGATTGCCTCCTGCAAAAAGGCACAGCAACATCAGATAAAGGTAGTTTCATACCTTGTTGCACAGTTGCACCAATATCAAAATTATATATATATTTACCTAATCAATATGTACATAATTGAACAGCATTTGAATATCAAATATTATTATTAAAAGAACATACCTCCAGGTCCAGGGAGTTCTGTATATTGCCCAGCAGAGCTGACTGCACCACCTCCCACCGACTCTTTACCGTCTTACTGCCGTCCTGATTGTAGGGAGCAAAATGTCACAAACTGCTACGATTCTGTGAACTACAGACTTAGTTGTAGGAGTACTGATATCAACTCTCAAGTCAATTCTGCTTACACATGTATATACACTGCAGAGTTAAGAGTTAAGTTTTTGACAATTTTTCTTTCTTGCTGATTGACTGGAATTAGACCATGTAACACTTCTTGAATTCACATGATTCAGATTTGTACTGTTGCAGTTCTGTATAAAACATTACAGCCACTCAGTGGTAAGACTGCATACATAGATTGATTCTGGATTCTTTCTAAACAATAATATAAAGCATGTCGGTGAAGGTTAGACATCCAGGTAATATGATACGCCAAAAAACATATCAATCAATAGTTCGTACTTATAAACCTGCTTTTCTGACAACTTTCCAGTGTCACTGACGTAAGGTAGAGGATGCTACATAAAATGTCTGACTGTTTCCAAAATCACATCATGCTGCTTGAGTAACTTTTTGGCAATGATACAGAGGTCCTCACTCACTATAGGTGAAATGAACAAAAACAATCTGTTTTGACATTTGAGAGAACAAGACTGTATTCCCACCTGGTCTTGTACAGGGTATAAGTTGTCATCTGAGCAGGGCATACGCACATGGGCGTCGTCCCATACGTCTCTGTATTTGTCTGGGAAGGGTCGTGGGGGATCACCTGGCCGTAGGTGGGGCTGGGATAATACAAGTCAATCTCATTTAGGCCAGTAAAAATTTTACTAAGATAAAAATGTTGTCTTTTCCAAATACTGTATCACTATTATATGTTTATCCCAATTATCTCACAGTGACACTTTTTGTTTTAAATATGCCTTCTCTTTCACTCTTACCGGCATATTCCACTTAGGAAAATGGGAAACTGGAAACACAACATTTTTTTCCTATGCCTTTTTACAGTGAACATTCTATAAAGCTTGGTCAGAACAACAGCTTGAATTCAAAGCTGTGGGTCTGTGTTTGCCTTACCCTGAACAGTACAGTATGGTGAGTGTCAGGTCTGAGGGTGGGGAGGGGACTGCTACAGGCCGGGGTCCGGTTCAGGGCAGATATCGCTGTCCCAAACCAGCTGGGCTGGGAAGGGTCTCTCTGGGATAACACTTCTGGGCTGCAGAAGAAAATACATGCACATATATATTTCATTCAATAATAGTTAGGACAATTCCTCTTGTACAGTAAACTAATATCAACCATTCTTTTTTATTTACCATGTCTACTTCGTTGAAAGGATGAGACAATGAGTGAGTGAGTGAGTGAGTGAGTGAGTGAGTGAGTGTGTGAGTGAGTGAGTGAGTGAGTGAGTGAGTGAGTGAGTGAGTGAGTGAGTGAGTGAGTGAGTGAGTGAGTGAGTGAGTGAGAGTGATACAGCAAAAATCAATTTCTAGTGTTGGGTTAAGAGACTGATGGTCAGATCTGGAATTGCGTGCAGTATTCAGTTGCATATAAGTGAGACTTACGTAGAAAACACTGGCTCTGAGTCTTCATACAGAAGAGTATCGCTCTGGTTAGAGTGTGAGACAGGGGAGTCTGCCGGCGGATCACTTAGGACAGGCGACTCTGGAATCACCATGGGAGAGTCTGGAATAACCAGGGGTGAGTCTGGACCCCCGTATTCTGGACTACTGTCAGATCTACTCCTCCTACTTCTGTGCTTCTGGTCTTTCCTTCCATGGTGAGATGTAGACGCAGTCTCTCTACTTGTGCTTGGCTTGTCTTCATCGACGTACTTGCTTCTGACCACACCCGCGGAGCTGGGTTTGTGTCTGCCATGTCGGGAGGAGCTCGGATGACTAGAGGGAGAGTCATGTGACTTATGGTGGTGCCTGTGATGATGGCTTGCAGAGCCCTGATTGGCTGGCTGGTGATCAGGTGACTCATCATGAGGAGGAGTAGACCAAGGTGACTTTGCACTCCTGTGTTTGAAACAATATGAAACAACAAGTTATAAAAGATATTGGGGCACAAATGTCTACATAAGCTTGCTGCCACCATGCCAGTGCATGTGAAGCTGGTGTTTTACGCAGAAGGGTGATTATACCGGCTATACAGATATTACAGAAATTATGAGAGTCTACAAGTCTTGCAAAACAGAGACTAACCTTCTTCTCTCAGCAGCACCGGCTGCCCTCTCCCTCATCTGTTGGGACATCTCCTCACCTCTGTTGTCTGACATCTCTTCTTCTTTGTCATTGGCTAGATCAATTAGGATAGCTTCCTCAACTGGAAATGAGATCATCAATGATTTTAGTGGCGCTAATGGTCAGAGCATTCACCTCAGAATCAAGAGGTCCTGGGTTCGATCTCCCAACACTTACTTTACACGACTTTCTACATGACTTTCCTCACTTCACTCATGTGGAAATGAGTACCTAGCATTGGTTTGGGCTGTCCGTCAGATAGGACGTTAAAATCATGGAGGTCCTATATTTGGCCAAATGCCACTCGTGTTAAAGTTGCGCTGATGTGACACAGGGGGACATTCATTCATTTGTTTCATTTGTGATGGTCAAATTCTACAGTCCAGAGTTGGTAATTCACTTCAAATCACCAGTGTAGCAGAATCATAATGATGTTGGCTACCTAGCTAAATTAAAATTTAAATCACCCCCAAAGACATCCATCGGATTTAAGCTTAGTTTGAATGATACAGCTTCAGATTTCAGTATTTCTTATTATAATATTCTTATTCTTTAAATTCTCAATGTTATTCACAGGCAAAACAATAAACGATGGCCTTAAAAATAGAAAACATCGGCAGACCTTGATTCTGGGCCTCTTCCGCACGCTTGCTGACTTTCCTCTGGAACGAAAAGCTGTCCAGAATGCTCGTTTGTCTCAACCGCTTTTTGGCCGGTTCTCCCGTCTCAGAGTCCCGGCGGCATTTCCCGGCGCTCATCGTCAAGCATGGTCAAACGGCATGTCGGAACACGTCAGTGTGTCGGCTCGAAAAATGTTGGCTCCTCTTTGTGATGAAAATTTTCAAAGAAAAAAAAATGGGGGAGGGGGGCAGCTGACGATCTTGCCGAGGCTTGTTTTAACAAGTTTAGGAAACAAAAGCGGCTTGTTTGTATACACAAATCTAATATGGACCTACTTGTACATATACGAGGAAACTTGGGAGAAATATATGCCAAGCAGTTGTACAATTTGAGGCCAAAATCTCGTGATTAGAAATGTAGCAAATTTCGTGAACCTTGTGACATGGGGTCAAGCACCGCATCAGATAGAGAAAATGTTATTGCTCGAGTAAATACCAAATAAATAATGATCTGAATAAGAAAACAATAAACATAAAATAAATAATCTATCATAATTTTCTTCAAATTCTGCAATATTTAATGTTTTCCATGGAATTTGCCACATATTCATTCTTTTTCTATGCGTTTTGAAGAAAGCAACTCGAAATCTCGCCGGTTCGCGCGAGGTTTATCGTGACTTCCCGACCTCGATTTCGTTCTCTTTCCCTGTGGTCCGAAATCAGGCAAAATGGTGAGTGAGAAATCCCAACAAAATCCTGAAGTATCTCAGTCACAACAGTGTCATCTTTTTATCTATCTTGCACATTCTTATATCTAACATATCGATACATTGTTTGAAATCAACATTTTGTCAATTTAGGCAACTTATAGTCCTATGAATCGCTTCGAAATGCGCACATCTTTGGACCGGTGAGAGGTATATTTACGTGCAGGCATGTCAGAACGGCGAAAGAAAATTTATAAAAGTAGTCCTGCCGCGCAGCTACGGCAGTTTATTGGTGTCAGATTCTTTGTTGATGTGGTTTGTAAGTGTGTCTTATTTTGACCCACATTCATGCATTTTTGAATACGAAGACATGGGAGAAAAACGAGTGGTTATGATGTAAAAAGTATACCACAAAATATGGGGAGGGGGGTACTCAACTTGTACAGCCACAAGCTCTTTGCTCCTACATGTACATGTTCAAATTCGCTCTTTGCTCCTACATGTACATGTTCAAATTCTCCATGTATAACAGCCTTCCGACATTCCTGTCCATTGGTAGAGATCGATATGTAATATCAAAACTTGCAAGAAATACTTAATTAACCAGAATAGTTTACTACTGTTAAGTGTTCACTGTTGCAGTCGAGTGTTTATTCCCAGACTGAAAATAATCAAAGTATGGTTGGTACATGTATCTAATATATGGTTAAATCTTACATATGACTAACTCATCACTGATCCCTGTGACAGACTGATGGTGCCGTGACTGTAAGAACGAGGAAGTTCCTCACCAACCGCCTCATGCAGCGGAAGCAGATGGTATGTACCGGGGGCACATCGGCGCATTTGTGTAATGTAGTTTTGAGAAATGTCTTTTTAATAAAAGGACAGGAATACAAGCAATCACTGTTTTTGTTTACTAGTATTACATCAGCTACTGGTAGGCATATATATATATGCAAATTATTGTCTATCACTCACAGGCCATATCGTATAGAGGTAATGTTACAGGAAAGAAAATTCTTCAAATGACTACTTGGAAAATGTCCTTTTTGAGCTTGAATATGAAAAAATGTGTATTGACGTTTGTGCTCTTGCATGTTTGTTTGTTTGTGTTTAGGTTGTGGATGTTCTGCATCCCGGGCGCGCCACCATTCCCAAGACAGAAATCCGCGAGAAGCTCGCCAAGATGTACAAGACCACGCCCGACGTCGTCTTTGTCTTCGGGTTCCGCACCCAGTTTGGCGGCGGCAAGACAACCGGCTTCGGTCTGATCTACGACACCCTGGACTTCGCGAAGAAGATGGAACCCAACTACAGGCTGGCCAGGGTAGGTGTTCTTAATTGTGATTTTGAGATAAGTAGGATACATGATGGAAATACTGTCTCAGAATACCTTACATTGTAATTCACGTTATGTTCACGTTATCAAAAGTTCACAGTCTTAGATTAAGTGGGGTCATGTGGCATAACAGTAGAGTGTTCAACTCCAAACCAAGTGGTACTGTGTTCAAATCCTGCCTGATATCACCGATCTTGTGCCCTATATCATTATTGTCAGTTCTTAATTTAACAAAACTGGCTTGTAATTACATGATGTACATGTATATGTAATGTTGATACTGACATGTAGTAGGACTGTCAAGTAGGAATGTTAACTTAAGACTTAAAGAATACCTAGCAGCCTTTTTTCACCACACAGGCTGATGAATAAAATGTGTTTTCCCTGTTATAGCATGGTTTGTATGAAAAGAAGAAGCCCTCCCGAAAACAACGTAAGGAGAGGAAGAACCGACAGAAGAAGGTTCGGGGAGTAAAGAAGACTAAAGTATCTGCTGGCAAGAAGGTATGTCATGACTAAGCAGAGATCAGATGTGTTTGTGTCTGCTACTCTGCGATATTATTTCAACTCATATTATATAACTTGAAACAATATGCCGACAAACAACCAGAAATAGACGCAGCTGTGGTGCAGCAAATTTTTAGAGGTGTTTTTTTTTAACAAACTGGCTAGAAAGATACCTGTTGTTTATTACCAGTGACATTCATATGTTGGTGTGTGTTAGATCTAAAAGTACCTTCATTTTTGCCTCTGATCTAACATGTTGTCCTCTGTCCTTCGTGATTACTGGAAAGATCTTCACTGATGTCCTGTCTTACTAGCTATTAGATAACCCAATTTACATTCCTGTAGAAATGCACAGACATAGTGTCAAATAGAAGTTGTATATCTGTAACTATCTACTGTACTTGTTGGTGACTAACCTGTTTTTGTATGATCAGTGTTTGGAGACAAAGCAACATAACTGAAAACATTTACTGCATTGTAATTATTCCAGCTTATATTCAAAATAAAATTATGGCATTCCACTCCAGAAATCTGTTTCAAAGTGTAATAATGAAGTACAAATGTGTGTAATGTTTCTGTACTTTCCGAAGTTTTTCATCTCGAGTGATAAAATCACAAACATCTCTCCAAACACTGATGATCAGTAGACTAACCTTTAACCTCTGACCTTGTCCTGTCTGACCTTGTCTTGTTTCATGCACCTTGTTAGCCTGAAGCTCAGGTGGGCATGGATGTTTCTCACCTGCATGACTTTACCTTAACTCAAGCCCCTCTTCTTCAATATCTGGTGTTGCTAACGTGATGTCCTAGATATACATGTAGTGAGGGGAGAATCAGATGTGGAAAGGGTTTTGTGTACCTTCCCATTCTTCCAAACTCTTAACATAGTTGCTCAGTCAGTGAGATGCATGTTTTGAATAGAATTGGTTCATTGTTTTTTGGAAGTTTTGAGTACCAAAAGTAATTTCATGATCAGAATATTTGTTGCATGACAAGTTTGCATGGAGTTTGACAATAGATAAAGATATATATAAGTTCTGTAAATAAGTACTCCTACTTACACTCACAGATATGACACAACGAAGTACATGTATTAATGTACTGTTTTATGATTGTGATTATTTGTAAGACCCTTACAGAGGCATAACCCCTGCTTCCTGTTGTTGGGGTATATGCCCTACAAAAAAGTATGTGTGGGGGCTTGCTGGCTTGTTAACTTCAGTTTGAGGGTTGAAGCCAGTTATGGTCAACATTTCATCAATATGCCATCAAAAACATGACTTGAGTTTTCATTTGGGGTTTAGTTTGCTTCTCATTGAGTTCTGCAGACTGTACAACTACAATTCTAGCATTGTTACCTTCTTCAACTTTTTGTGTGATTTAAGTGTGTCATATTCTTTCCTCCTGTTATGTATATGTTGCTCTTTTCTTTGATGGTTGATTGTTATAACATTTCTTTGGGTATCATCTTTTATCTCCACTTGCCTATTCCCTCCCTGGTTGCTGTTCTCCCCGATTCTCTTCCACTTCACACATACACAGGGGCGTTGAGATATTGTCTATATGAGGTACCCTGAAGGTGAGACGTGCATGAAGAGTGGCCGGTTTATGTTTGAGATGTGTGCACCAGACAGCAACCCTGATTGTTATAGATGTGTTCAGATGGCAATCACTTGTATGATAGCTGATGTTTTGCCTTTTGTACAGTGTATATGCATGTTTTCTGCATTATACTATTAATAGATTTTAGGCATTTAGGTGTTGGCAACCTACACAATAATTGCAACATAAGAATCTAGCATCTTTACATGACTTGTTTCTTTCTTGTTTCTTTTCTTGATTATTTTTAGCGTCGTTCTTTATTTTGCATTGCCAGTATTTACTTGCCAACTGAGATGATATACCATTATCCACACTGTGCACTTATCCATGTTGTTTCGTTTACTTGCAGTAACCTGCCTAACTGAGGGTCCATGTTTGAAGTGTTACCTGAGGACTATCTTGAGGGATGATGTCTACAAATGTCACCGTCAGCCAGCGCACTACTTGTTAGCCCTTCCATCAGTGGGCAAAAATAAAACATTATGAATATGTCCAAAAATTGTTGTGGTATTTTCTTGTCTGTTTAATGTACCCGGTAGTAGTTTCTGATTCTTGAATGTAGATTTAGAACTGTTGGATCTTTTCAGTCATAGTAGATTGCCGTTTCCCCTTTCCAGCCCCAGAAAAATGTTTGGACATTGAAAACTCCATACACAAAAGTGTTGTAATATACAAGCATTACAACTAACATAAGACTCAGTAGCAAAAATTTCCAGCACGCAAAATATACACATTGAAAACATTGAACTTTTCATCATCTTTCAAGCAATTTTATTCACACATTCTTGTCATTCTGACGCAATAACAATTGAGAAATTGCACGTTGACATGAAAAAGTTTTGTGGATCAAAATATTCATAACATTTTTAAACAAAACTATTCAAGCCCTTGAAGTCACATGCTTATCGAACAGCATATATATATATATAAATATATATTTTTAGGACACTTAAAAGCTTGGCAAATTCAACAGATGGAAACACCACAAAGTGCTCTATTTGCTCATCTTGAAGACTCTTTGTATTCCACCACGTAATGTCAATTTTCTATCAAAATATACAGTCAACTATGTGATCCCTTTTGACAAGGATGCCTTTTTAGTCACCAAAAGTCAAATAGTCAATCAACAAATCTATTTGCAGCAATGTGCTTTTCAATGTTTATGATCCCTGTGGAAAGAGAGGACTTGACTCTATTGTACAATAGTCATTCTTGTAGACTGTAAATAGGAAGTATACATATATTAGGCCTAGGATTGGAAGTGTGACCGAAAGCAATTTTATTCCCGGACGTATTTTGGGGTTAAAGCCCAGACAACATGCCTGTTTAAACGTTTTCTCGCCACAACGCTTCAATATCTTCCAACACAGAAGAAAAAGCAAAGCTGCGGCGCCAGCTACAAGTACTAAACCACAGAACAATGCTACTAAGCCCCGTCCCTTTCTTGCGTTACTGTCCACGCTCTCTTCAAATGCATTGAGCTGGTCAAGAACTTCAAAGGTTACAGCGCCTATCATACCTAACAGTGTCCAATGAACGCCGTTCTTAGTTGTGTATGCAGAACTAAGTATACCGTTATAAAGCACAGTATCCTGAACTTTAGAGATTTCTTGAAGTAGCTTCTCCCATTGTGCACGTCTTTCGATCAACTGAATACGTTTATCGATTCCGGCCATGGTAGCTATATTGTCGCGCTCAACATGGTCAGTGTCACACTGTTCTGCTATACTGACTGTGTTAACTCCAGCAACATGGCCAGCTGCAGTTTCCTGAGTTTCGGAACTATGAGCACTGTCCTCACTGTCACACTGTACTACTGTACTGTCCGTGTGAACTTCAGCAACATGGCCAGCTGCAGTTTCCTGAGTTTCAGAACTCTGAGCATTGTCATTACTGTTTGAATGCTCGACTTCAGATGTTACATTATCGTTCCGTTCCGCTTCCATGCTTTTTTCTAACATCTCCTTAAACGCTTGAGTCACTCTGACACAGGCATTTGCAACATGCATGTAAGGGATTATAACCAGAGAAACTATAGAAAGCAGTCGCGTGAAATGACTGAACCATCGGGCAAGAGTCAATTTAACGTCCGATATATACACGTGTGTGTAGAGGAGAACTAGGCTGACAGCGATATACATCATGACGTTCATGACAGTAGCAATGTTTTTCCAAACTTCCTTACCCCAGTTGTCATAGAATAACTCATCATTCAGTTCTTTTAGAATCCTTTTTGGATCTTTAGTTTGATCATCGGAGCCAAAAAGTCGTTGGGATTTTTGTTCGATTTTTGCGGCTCGTCGGCGAAGTACGCAGGCCATTTCAGTGGCATACTTACAACAAAAGTAATACACGGGGAGTAGTGGAAATTGAAATACCACCTGAAACAATGGGCAGAATAGCTTGGGAATACCTAGGGTGATCGTGCCAAAGAATACGTTAGGGTTCAAGAAAGAACAATTCGCGCATTCTACGCAGTGGAAAAGGAAAAGCAATAACACGTTCATGGAAATGAAGTAGCAAGTACGACGCCAAATATACGATTTCTCACCTTTGTCTGTATCATTTTCATCGTATTCCTTAACTGGTTTTTCTAAATTGAATTTCCAGTAGATAATAACGATAGCAGGTTGTAGGTAAAGTACGATGTCAATCAGGTCATAAGGTATATCCTCCTGAGATTCCTCGGGATCACAGGTTTTGTTTGCATTCAATCCTGTAGTTGAATTTGCCATGCCTTTTCCAGTTTTCAGATTCCACATGCACACAACCTCGAAGGAAATACTAGTAATGGGATGAACAAAGCCAATGAGACAGAAAAAGAGAGAAAAAACAATGCCGCAGATCTCACGGATAGAAGTATGTCGATCTAGAGTACATGTACATGTTAGGTCGGGGCAAGTTCCATCTTCTGGGCTTTGCGACCCCGAATCGCCTTCCACCGCCAGGGAGGCGAAGTCCTGCATTTCAATCTCCTGGTAGTTGACGTTTGTCATTTCAATCTACTGAAGCGCCTGTCTAAAGGACAACATACAAAAAGGGTAAAAATGTTTCAATGTCGAAGACTATATGAATGCACATGCAAATCAGATGGGTACATGTGTTTTCGCATGTAAAATTAAGGCTAAATCGAAGACATAAGTAAGATAAGAGTTGATAAGTTCCTTATTAGCGTGGTCTTCGGAACAGTCAACATCCAACGGTTATTCTAAAGCCAACAAACATGCCTCCTGCTTATTTTACTCCTTCTAGTCCGATAAGACGTTAGATGAATTGACAGTTATGTAACGGCTTTTGTTTAAATCATTATGTCCATCGTCGATGTTTGAATTTTGGCCAGAATGTGAACAGAAAGATACACGGGTGGGGGGGCTGTCTATATTTCCATTTAATCATTTGATCAATTAAAATCGACAGAGCTGGCAGTACATATAATATACTTACTGGAAGTTGTTCTCGGGAAAGAAGGTAAGTTTTTGCGATGGTAGTAGTGCGTCTTTGATCGCTGCTCCTTTGAAGCCCAGAACTGTCTGGATTGGACTCTGGTGGTTCAAAAGAAGTAACTAACTAGCGGTAGCCATTATTGAATAGATCGTAACATTTCATTTTAACATGTTTCCTTGCATCTATTTGTAACGATACCCTAGTCGTTTACAAACTAATCGAAAATTCATATTACATAGAATGATATCTATGCACAAAAATACCCAAGACATATTACCAAGGTCATGCTAGGTATATATATATATGATGCACACAATGGGGAGCTTCCGAAAGCAGTCCCTGAAAGCAGTCCTTGGACACTGTAAATATACATGGATGGTTTCGCAGATACAAGTTAGACTGTGACAAAGTCACAAGTTAGATAAGAGTTGATAGGTGCCTTATTGGCGAGGTCTTCGGAACAGTCAACATCCAAAGGTTATCCGGGAAGTCAACAAACAGGTCTCCTGTAACTGTTTATTTTACCCCTTCTAGTGGGACAAGACGTTAGATAAATTTGACAATTATGTAACGCCTTTTGTTTAACCCTACTAGTATTCAGACGGGGGGGCTCAGATAGCACCCGAACGGCCTGCGCTAGAACCGTCAAATTTGGTGACTTTTCCTAAACGGGTTTCTGATAGGCAGTTTTTGGAATAATCAGTAATTTGGGTTCAAACATTAAATTTTTATAGGTTCTATGTTTAATTACGAAAGAATGCCCAAAAAAGCCCGGTCTGAATTATTCTGTCCATCATCGACGTTCAAATTTTGGCCAGAATGTGAGAAGAATTTGAAAGACAAACGGATGGGGGGAGCTATCTACATTTCCATTTAACCAATTAAAAGTGACATGGCTGGCAGTATGTATAATGTACTTACTGGAAGTTTTTCTCAGGAAAGAAGGTGAGTTTTTGCGATGGTAGTGGTGACTCTTTGATTTAGCCCAGGAATTGTAGGGATTGGACTCTGTTGGTTCAAAAGATATAAATAATTAATGGCAGTAATAGTTGTTAGTTGAAAGTCGCTATCATAGTTAACTTGATCCAACAAGAATCAAATAAGTCACAAATCATCAACTCCTATATATAGGTGATAGTGATTTTTTTTTTCACACGAATAAAACTCGGCCTAACTAGCTATATATAGATGAATGTTCATTTTATGCCAGTTTCGTTCCAGTGAGAATGAACTTCATAGAAATGTACAAGGCGTTAAGTTGTGAAACACACGAACAGATAACTGAGCTACGCTTGCATACAAGAACGTACGTTTACGGGTATGCTTACCAATTACAAGAAGGACGCTGGCGTTTCGGAAATGGAGATGACAGATGTCATAGAGCCTTCTGCTGTGGTAACCGCCTTTCTTCCTCTTCTCCGGGACTGGTCAAGAAAACTGAAACAAAGGATTTTATAGCCTCCTGGACGCTACTGGAAAATTCTGTGACGCACATGGTGCTATAGCAACAGCTTTAAGTTCATAAGATAAAAAGAGGAAAACGTAATTTGGACTTGCCTTATCAGAAAAAAACTGCAGAGTTGTCAGTACGTGGTGAAACAAATTTACCGTCACCTTGGTAACAATTTGTCCAGTTGACAAATATGCCCGTTGCGCAACTGTTGACACTAGGACAAAGTCACGTTTTCTGTCTCGTGATATATTTTTCAAAGATCATCAAGAAAATTTGGCCGAAAATTTACCAACTCACGTGGTACAAATATGTAAAGTTTTGGGTTCTACACTAAAACAGTTAACCCGTATTTCAGCTTTTCGGCCTTAAGAAAGAAATCGACTTGGATTATGATTGTCACTTTTTAATATTTTGGGACATTAACATTTAACATTAACAAGTCAGCAGTATCAGAGACATGACATTTTTGTCCTTTAAATTTGTAGTAATCTACGGGCAGATTTACGATTTGCTCCTTTTTCTCTGATATTGAGGAACAGTAGGAACGGGCAACTCGAATATGCCACCATGGAGATAGAAAAATGGTGCCACGATGTTTATCCCAACTACTTTTGGAGATACCTCTTTGAACAAGCAATGCATTAATACCACGTGTACGGTTACGCGATGGTTTCTACTTTTATGAGGCTGTCAATGAAACTCAAATTCTTTGCAAATTCAGATAGGTGTTTTTGCATATTTAGGCAATATAAGACAAGCTATGGTGCGGGAATACATGTAAGTGGGACTAGAGTTGATAAGTGACTTCATTATGTCACCTCCTTTGGTATAGTCAATAACCAAAGGTTAAAAACAGGCTCCAGTAACTGTTTACGTTACATCTTGACATTCCAGCCAGATTATAGATTGACAGTATATTGCGGCGTAGCCGTTTTTTAATCCCCATGACTACTAGCCTGGTGCCCAGTCTATCGTGGTTGGGCGGGTTTTCTTCGGGGCTGCAGGAGCTCTTCCCCGCTCGCCTTCTGCCAGCTTCCCCGGTAGGTTTTTTACGATGGGAGATTGATTAGGGTCAATCAACTCCTACAGTCACCAAACTCCTACCAGGTGGTCTGTTGAGCTGGACGGGGAAAATTATAGTTAGAGCCCCGAAGACAGCCTGCCACAAGCACGATAGACTGTATACCAGGCTACATACATGTAACCACAGAGGAATGCCATTTAGATTTTGGTCTGTTGGAAGAAGAAAACTGGAAGTCGTTGGACCCTTGATCAAACTTGTTTGTTTGGCCCGGCAAACCGCTTTTAGGCGTAAGCCGCGTAACACACAAGGATGTATTATATTCTTATGAAGTTTCTACTATTAAATTATTGCTAACCAGTTTCTACTGCCAGTAATTATTACTATTAAAGCAGTTGCTGGAAAACCCCGTCACAAAATAAGAACAGAAACGTAATTGGGGATTACCGTGTCAGCAAAAATTGCTGAGTTGGGATGGACTTTGGCAACTTGGATTGAACTTTGGCAACTGTCTTCCAGTTAAATTAAGAATTAAAAGGTAAGTTCCTCCGTTGTTCTGTTGACAGAAGATGGCCAAAGTCACATTTTCTGCCTCGTGATATAGTTGGCTGGCGCTTCTGAGACTTACACAACAAAACCAAATCAAATCACTTTTTTAACTTGAACAGTTCGGGACTCCAACAAGATTAGTTACCACGGGCACCATACATACTTGTAACATTAACATTAACATTGACATCAAGACAAGTCAACAGTAGCCTGGAAGCCCGATATACAAATAGGATGGCACCCAGGCTAAGTCAGGACTACCTGAGACATACATGTATAACCTCCTTGCTGAGACTTGGCATTTATTGTTATTATGTAATCTTAACGAGTTCCAGCTACTCAATTATGATATACAACTATCCTAATAATAACTAGAAAGGCCAATATTTGCTTTGGAGCAAATACAGCGATGGGTTCACCACATTTTACGACATGGCAGGGAAAGAATGGGAAACACAAGAGAAAACAATGATTTACATTGATATAACTATAATATGAAGTAAAATACAACTAAAACAACAGTTGGATAGCTATTCCCTACTTTATTGGTTAGGATTTTTAATTGCATAATGCAAACTGTTGATTTTCAAAATAAAAAAAAAATAGTCCATGCCCGGCATTCCAATGCTGGAGCAGGAAAGCTTGAAATACCTACCAAAACACTTGAATACAGACATACTGTCAGTATGGAAATGCTTCTGTGCAGGTGTTAATCAAGTTAAATCCCAACAGCCAATCAGCAAGAAGTATAGAGGAAAGCTGCATGCCTGTTGGTTGATGCCCTGCATTCCATTGTGATGACTCATGCCCAAACGTGGTAAACAAGGCACACTAACACAGTAATACATTAGCTATAACACAGCCAAAAAACTCAAATAAAACCATTCTAAAAGCCTGTATCACAATAATTTAAAAAACGCCTAGGGGATTTGCCCACTGTACCTCCATACCAAATTTCAGGACCTTGGGCCCTAAAATGAAGAAGCTGAATCCATTTAAAAAATGGCAGGAGAAGAAGAAGGAGAAGAAACATCAGAAAAAGCAATATGGTTTCACCACACCACTTCGTGGTGTGGTGAACCCATAATGAAGATAACTTTTCTCTTTGGCCAAGTAACATATTTACTACATGTACGGTTACTTCTTTTATTTGAGTTATGGCCTTCTGTGCGCTACTGGAAATTCCCATGACACGCGAGATGTTATGGTAACAGCTATTATGTCACACAAATAGAAAACACGTAATTTGGACCTTCCATGTGCAAAACATGTACGTGGGGTAAAATAAATACACCTTAGCTTAGCACCCGTCTACGTCCAATCACCTTAAAGGGCGCGATAAGAACAAGCGCATTCCTTTGATCTGTTAGTTATCTGTTAGTACAAGCAGTGACGCACAAGGTGGTGTGATAACTATTAAGTCATACAAGTTAAGAAAAGAAAACACGCAACCGGACTTTCCAGATCGGCAAACTTGGAGAAGACTGGGAAAATTTCTTTGTTCTTTGTGCTAATCTCCTATAACAGATCATTGGAATGATTTCAACTTAAAGATTTTGACTGCTTTTTATGACAGTGATACACAACCAATCTGACAGAAGAAGGGAAACTATTTTCTATCACAACATTTGCTTGTACACAGCTTGGCGCAGCACTTTGGTCGAGTAACTTATCTACAACTTGACCACCTACAGCCATACACATCATGCCTGCCTGGTAAAATCATATTGAGTATTAGTATTACGTGGGGTCGTGTGGCGCAGTCGGTAGCGCGTTCGGCTCACACCCGAGAGATCGTGGGTTCGAACCCTGCCCATGTCATCGATCTTGTGCCCTTGGGAAAGGCACTTTACACGACTTTTCTCACTTCACTCGGCTAGGGACGTCCCTCGGATAGGACGTTAAATGGAGGTCCCGTGTTTGGGAGAGCCACACCCCACGCACGTTAAAGAACCCACCGCACTTATCGAAAAGAGTAGGGGACCTTACCGGTGTGAGTGGTTCAAGCCTTACAGTCTGGTCTCGGGGTTGACATCTTTGAAGAGGTGATTGTCACCTGTTATGTCAATCCTTCCACAAATGTGGTAAATTGTCATAAAATAAAATAAAATAAAATAAAAATAAAGTATAATGTTGAGTCATTTTTCCGCTATCGTTAGAACTTGCTTGTATATGGAATCAACAACATTTGAACGTGACCATGAGAATTAAACTGAAACGTTTCCTGACTTGAGTCTGCCATAGGCCTAGGCAGCGACTGCGTATACATAAGCGGAAAGTACCATACGATAAAATATCCATCCGATATGTCTCACGCACGTCAGCGTAAAAGTAGAAAGCATGTGAGGGGAATTCCCTGATGACAAAATATTTTCCCCGTTGAAATGTACAGGGTAAAGGTCGAATAGAAAGCATATAAAGGGACTTGACTTAATGACATGTTTTTGCCGTAGAAATATGTATGACATACTAGTATCATGTATAGAGACATAATTCAAAATTTTTCGTACCACATACAGCTCAGCTGGCTAGAAAAGTACTTTAAAATATACAATTCGACGTTCTATGGTATACTGATATATATTAGGGACGTCCCTTGGATATATATGACGTTAATTGGAGAGAGCCACACCCCACGCCTGTTAAAGAACCCACCACACCACCCGAAAAAGATCGGAGCATGCCCCTCTACATCTTTTTGATGGTCTAAATACTACTACTACATGTGTGTAGTTCAAGTGCTGTGGAACCAGCTCACAATAGAACAGAGAAATCTCCGAACTGTAACGGCCTTCAAAAACTCATTGTAATTATATTGTATTTGTGCAGCTGTATTTCTATTATGTGCTATGTACTGTGTTGTTATCATTGTATTGTTTCTGCATTTTTATTGTACCCTAGATCTACCTGAAAAACAGGTCAAATGACCTGAGTGTATCTTCTGGTTAAATAAATAAACTGAAACTGAAACTGTGTCTGGAAGTCGGTGATTTTCTACAAATCCCCCGCCTCGTATTAGCCACACGGTGATTTTCAACCCCTCAGCCCATGTTGATTTTAAGAGGATGATGCGAACCCCAAAACTCAAGAGAGACGTAAAAAGAGACGAAAACCATTTAAGGATAATACCTAATACTCATATAAATATATTCAATAGGCAAGATTTCCAGCACACAAACTTGCACACAATGAAGACATTGTACGTTTTAATCATACTTCTTTCAGTCAATTTTATTTGCACAGTTATTTTTGTCTTTCTTATTGGATCGCAAAATTGCAATATCGCAAGAATGCATATTTACATGGAAGAATCTTGTGTATTCTATAAGGGCATTAGACTATTCATGTCCAGGAAGTAAGATGAAGCTAGATTTCTATGTCCAATATATTTCACAACATTATATACATTGTATAAATTTGTATACTGGCACATAGACGGACATTGTATTCATAATTACAGTGTTCCTCTACGTGATCAGATTCTTTTTAAAATACATGTACTTTTATCATGATCACTTAATAACATATCTTGGACCTTCGGTGTGGACAGTCCGCATATTGTAGCACATTTTTATTACCATTACACAAAAGACATGGACAATGTGACGTACACTCAAGTTATAACTTACTAGTATTTTGTTATGCCACATACGTACACAGAAAATAACAATAATAAGTACATTTACACCTTTATACAATTTTATACACCATCATCATCATTTTGAAAACAGTGTAACATATCTTCTCTGAACATGGGCATTTACATTAATCACTGTAGTTTATGATATAGCTATATTATGATTGTAGGACACTGCAAAACAAGGCAAAGTCAGCGCAGTTTAAAAACTGGACCAGACGTCTGTCACCATGGTAACTTGTACTGTAGCAACACCCTGTGGTGTTGGGTTACATTATGTAGTAGAACAGAGTTGGAGAGTCTGTTCACAATACATCAACGTATTGCTTTGAGTAAGAATAAACAAAGCAGTAGTTTGTTGGGCAAGACCAGTTGAAGGTTATACCTTTCTAGTTGAATTAGACAACCATGTGATCCTTTCGAATCTTAGGAGGTTATTGTAGTCGCCATAAGTCAAATATAGTCAATTCTCAAAACGTTTAAAATTATGTCCACCTATGCATTTTCATCTATCTATTTTCCAGCAATATACAGATTGTTTAGTGTTATGACAACTATGGAAAGAGAGGATTCGATTCCATCGTACAATCTTTATCCTTGTAGACCTCAAAATAGAAACTTATGTATATAATGCCCCAGACGACAAGGGTTGCAAATGCGACCAAACAAATGTTTGCTCTAGGATATTCTTTAAGGTTTGAGCAACATGCTTCCTTACACATTTTGTCACCGCAACAACCACATATCTGCCAACAGATCACAAAAATCACAGCTGAAATGCCAGCTACAAGCGCCAAAGTACCGAACAACGTTACTACGAACCGTTCCTTACTTGCGTCGCTGTCAATGCTATCCTCAAATGCATTAAGGTGGTCCAGAACTTCCCATGCTACAGCGCCTATCATGCCTAAAAGTGTCCAGTGAACACCATTCCTAGTTGTGTATGCAGAAGTCAGTATCCCATTGTAAAGAGCCGTGTCCTGAACTTTGGAGATTTCCTGGTGTAGTCTGTCCCACTGTGCACGTCGTTCACTCAATTGGATACGTTGGTCAAGTGTTTTGATTCTAATAGCTATATTGTCCCACTCGCTAGGGATGTCGCAGTTTACTCCTATACTGTCTATGTTAACTTCATCAACAGGGCCAACGTCCTCAGATTCGGGCTTATGATCATGATCATTGTACTGTACTGCTATGCTGTCCATGTTAACTTTATCCGCAGTATGGCCAAATTCAGAACTCTCGACTTTATCATACACATAGTGCCGTTCTGCCTCCATGCTTTTTTCTAACATCTTGTTAAGCTCTTCAGTCACTCGGGTACAGGCATAAGCAACATACAGGTAAGGGATCATGGCGAGAAACACTATAGAAAGCAGCCGCATTAAGTGACTAGACCACCGCCCTAGAGTCAGCTTAACCTCCGATATATACACGTGTGTGTAGAGGAGAACTAGGGTAGCAGCAATAAACATCATGATGTTCATAACAACGGCAATTTTCTTCCAAACTTTCTCACCCCAGTCGTCATAGAATAACTTCTCATTTAATTCTTTTAGAATATTTCTTGGATCTTTATCTTGGTTGCCAGTGCCAAAGTGGTCTTCTGATTCATTGATTATTTTTTCGGCTCGTCGGCGTAGCACCCACGCCATTCTAGTAGCGTACCAACAGCCTAATGTATAGGCGGGCACCGCAGGCAGTTGAAAAGCAATGCTAATCCACGGACAAGCCGGTCTGTTCAAAAATGTAATCGCCGTTCCCAAAAACACACTGGGGTTCAAGAAAGAACAGCTTGTACATTCCACGCAGTGGAAAAGGAAAAAGAACAACATGTTCAAGGAAATAAAGTAGCAGGTGCGACGCACACGGTACTCTGTCTCTTCACGCTTTATCTTTTCGTCTGCACCCTTATTTTCTTTTTTGATTTTTTGATTTTCCTCCCTCTCATATTGGTCAATGGGGCTAGCTAATTTGAACTCCCAGAAGCTAATAACGATAGCAGGCTGAATGTAAAGTACAAAATCAATCAGGTCATAAGGTATATGCTCTTGAGATTGCCCGGGATCACACGTGTCATTGTTTGTAGTAAGCATTTCGTCAGTAGAATTTGCCATGTCTTTCCCAAATGTGTTCAGATTCCACATGCACAAAACCTCTACAACGATACTAATTATATAATTAAGACAACCAATGAAACAGAGAAGGAGGGAAATAATAGCAATAATGCGAGATCTGGATTTGGGGCCACTTCCCTGGCTGTGGTCTTTACCAGACTCCAGGTCTGCATCTTGCTCTGGGTCATGAGATGTGCTGTTTTTCTGCCCTTGCGATCCAGTCACAGACTCCCCATCCGTTTCGTATCCGTTGTTTACTCCAGACTCGTGTATAGAATCGCGTGCCTGAAGGACAACGTACATAAGGAGTACAAAGGTTACATTTTTGGCCCCCGCTTTTATCCATGAGGGTACAGTCAAATCTAGCTATATATATAGCCGGCCAACCACCGTGCCACAACCAAACTCGTGCACCTACAGCCTCATTAAAACAGTTCTATCCTACTTCCGAAAATAGTTTCATTTATAATAGGTTGGTAAAGTATAGGATACAGGAGTTTTCTTTTACACAACCAAGGTAGACTAACCTTGCTGATGTTTCGGTGTCTATCAGACACCTTCTAGGTGGCGCTTTTGCGGTGAGGACACAAAAGCGCCACCTAGCTACGCGTTGGCTACATATAGCGGCGAGAACCAGCACTTCTGTCAGAAGCTCTGAGGAAGGTGTCTGATAGACACCGAAACGTCAGCAAGGTTATAGTCTACCTTGGTTGTGTAAAAGAAAACTTCTGTATCCAGTCGCATCCTGATTTTACACACTGTTTAGCAACAAGCTGCCCTACCCAGTCAGCAGCACTCCCCAGAAACATTCAAAATGAGCGGAGACGCTCTAATAAACGTTCAAAGCGGATACGTAATCATATCAAAAACTTTGTTCTGGTCCACTTGCCTTCATGTGGTCTGCGAGACTATCTATGTCCCGCGGTGTGTTCCTCCATCTGAGCGCGCTGCCGCGTGCGCCAGCCCCTGGACCTTGCTCCGCATCACCGGTGTGGTCCCTTGGAGCCTGTCGCAAAGTCCATGGCGTTTCATCCTCAGTTTTGAAAGCGGGGTTGTCGGCCTGCTCCATCTCACCTGAAGGACAACGTAGTCAAAAAGTTGAGTTTTCAGTCCGCCTATATCCTTGTAGATATTTGTTCATATACATGTACCCTTGTAGACATTTATGAATTCTAAAACTAGAAGCATGCTGATGCTTGAGTTGTCCAGAAGATACACAGGAATGTCACGTGAACTTATAGGTTTTGTTACCGACATAGATAATCTGCCAGACTGCATATACACTAGAATATCCTCTGACAGATTGTAACAATGTTGATAACAATTATTGCCCCATATACAAACATTTTTGCTCTTCGTTGAGCTAAAACTGGATCGAGATCCCTTTCCTTTCCTTTTTTTTTAAGTTAAGACGGTACCGGACTCTAACATATGGGTCCCACTCCCACCCAACGTCGGCTCCGCCCATAGTGCCACGCATGAAAGCGTTACGTTCATATCACCAAGTCCAAGAGTATATATCAACAACGGTGAAAACAGAAGAATAAGCTTACTACAAGCACCCTGGCGTCGACCTCTTCGAAATTAAGATCACGGAGACAACAAAATCGTCTGACGAGGTAACCGACTTTCTCCCTCCTCTCCGACTAGTTGAGAAAACTCAAAAATGAAAGTTGGTTACACCCTTCTAGACGCTCATTAAATATGCCGTGACGCACAAGTTGCTATGACAACAGCTGCAAATTTGCAAGATTTGGCAGCGTTGGCAGTACGGGGTGTAAAACAAATCTACCGTCACCTTGGCAAATGTAAACATCGAATTCCTCCACTCGACTTTATGGTGTGATAAGAACAGGTGCATAGCCTCGTTGCTCTGTTCTGTTGACACTATTATTATATCATGGAGGTAGAAAAATTCTACCTCCATGATTATATACAGCTAGAAGCTGGAAGAGCAAAGTCACAATTTCTGTCTCTAGGTGAAATGGTTTTCTGACGTCCTTCGTGTTTGGGACTAACAAAAGTCAAATCTGATTGCGATGCATGTAAAGATCTAACGGCACAGAATTTTGGCCCGCCGGTTTCTTTCAGAGGAATTACTTTCACTTTTGGCAATACCTGTATGTACAAGAAGTACAACGCACGGCTTGTCACTCATTAACATGAATGTCCCAAAAACTCACCTGGGAAATGTAGGACGTTGGGTACACTTATTGCAAAAGATTTAACCTGTTGGTAACTTTGCTACAGATGTCCGAGCTCTGCAACTCTTCGCCCGATATCTTGCTGACCGGCAGCTGGTGTGTCCGGTGTGTGGACATGTTCAGGGTGTGCAAAGTTCAGGGTGTGCAAAGTTCATGGAATGCCTTCAGTATTTGAATTTTCAAACCTAGTCTATAACAATGGGTGAAAGGTATACATGTATCAAGCTGAGTCCACAACAGTGGGTTAATGATATATGTAATAAGCAGCAACAAACCCAAGCTCAACAATTCTGTTATTTATAATAAGGGGATTAGGAATGCAAGAATGTGACATGAAAAGAACAATATTTGTACACAAATCACAACAGCACTTCTATAACAATTACATTGTCTTTATTCTTGCCAACTGGTTCAAGTAACACTATAACAATTAAACATGTACCATTGCCAACAACACAGTGCACCATTTCCAGATTCACTCTTGTGGCATCTGCAGTCAAAAGATTTGGTCTCCCTTTACATCACAAAATTTCTTAGAATCATAACAGAAAGAAATGGTTATGAATCGCTCAAAATAGCCACATTTGTCTATCAAAACAATCATTTTAATCAAAAGCATGATTTTTCAAACCTAATACACCCACTTTTATAGTAGTACATGTGTATTACCTCACAACCTCTGCCTGTTTTAAGAAACTACACCATACCTCAGCACTGATGTACAGCATTATACCTCTCTTGATCTTACTCTTGAACATACTGTATCATCTTGTACATTTTATATACTGTCACCATACTTCAAATCATAAAATCATTATCACCTTTGAAATAACTACAGAAAAATAACCTTATCATCCTAGAAGCCCTAAGTGTGAGTACAATACACTTGTACCTACACTTGTACATTCAGTGAACCAAATTCATCAAGTCCATACAAGGTATGTGAAGAAAATAATTTCTTCAGAACGACCCCTCTCCTGTGATGTTGCCAAAAACAGGTTTAAAAGTACACTTGTACAGAGATGACGCTTGTAGGTGTGACATGCCCACTGATATGTACACTAGCACCACTATATTCATCAGTAGCTACACATGTAGCTCAAGATGCTCTCAAAGAGCATGTCAGCAGAACGTACTGCACCTGTGCAAAACCTGGATTTTTTGCCCAGCCCTCCAACAACCTGGGTGCCATCCTCCGTAGTTTCCCCCGGTTAGCTACCCGTGGTACCCAGGGACATTAGAGAGCTGGCAGAAACTATGGAGGATGGCACACTTGCTACATAATGTAACACTTGCTACATAATGTAACACTTGCTACATAATGTAACACAACGCCACAGGGAGTTACCATGGTGACAGCCATCTGGTCCAGGTCATTCAACTTTTCTGTTTGGAGAAGAAGAAGAAACAGAGCAAAGATCCTTCTGCAAAGGTAAACACAAAAAGACTTTCTGCCAAAGTGCGTGCTATGCACAGTACATCACAGGTTTTGCACAGGTGCAGTACGTTCTGCCCTTGTGCCATCTCAAGGCCTCAACAACTGAACACATCACTGAACAGAGGACGCAGCCTTCTCTATGAAGGTTGCTAGGGTGACGTCCCTACCCGACAACCCAGCCACATCATGGGTGCTGAGTGTGATCTGTACTTTGTTGTAGACGTTGAACCACTCTGGGTGGTGGTCCATCTTCTCAGCCCTGAGGGCCACACGCGACATGAAGCCAAATGCCTGAAAGGAAAAAACAACTGATTAGAGCATTTCATTACTTTAATTCATTTTGTGGCGTTGTGTGGCAGTACGAGTGCTCGACTTGGAACCAAGAAGTCCCGGGTTCGAGTCCTGACATGCCAGTGATCTTGTGCCCTTGGGAGAGGTACTTTACACAACTTTCCACACTTAACTCAATTGAAAATGTGTATTGTCTATCCTGTATTTGTTTTTATATGTGGTCCACAATACCAGCAACAGCTGCTTTTGTCCCACATGTATTGTAATTTGTATTGTTACAATTTCAATGAATCATTTTATGTTCAGGCAAAAGTTTACAGTCTGAGAAAAATGGAGGTGTTCACGGTGGCAGCAGGTACAGAAGAAAGAAAGTCAGGGAATCATTTGTTAATGGTAATGACACAGGATGTCTGCTACAGCACCAGTTACCATAGTGGCAGCTGTCTAGTCCAGTTCATTGACCTTGGTGCTTGGAGAAGATGAAGAAACTGAGCAAAAGCAAAGTTGAATATAAAAAAAACTAAGGCTGGAGAATTGACCTGGTTGAAGTCCTTGAAGAGAAACTCCTTGTAGATCGCGTCCCTACCGTCCACCATGGTCCAGCCTTTCCCCATCAGTGGTTCTAACTGAGACTCCCTCTCACTGTCCGTCAGCTTGGCACGCTTCGCTTCGGATGCCTGGTGCACAGAAAATAAAATGACAATCAAGGACATCTGCACCTCAATCAAGTTATCAGTAATATTATCAGTTTGGAAAGAATGAATGTAGGTAGGCCAAATCTCCAAGCAGATCTTTCAGTGGCTGCAAAGACAGTATCAAATTGGCCAGACTGTATCCATTTTAACCCCCTGGATCTGCTTGGAAATTATGTAGGTTGTACAGAAACTGACATTAATTGCAGAGATGCCTGTGTCCGGCTGTGTGTCTAGCACAAACTTGAGGAGTCTTCTAGACCATGGGGTTATATCTGCCACCCCCTCCTATGTTCTTCTTCTTCTTCCCTTTTCGCGCTAACCTCACTAGTTTGAGGGCTCCAGCACGGTGTTTGTTCGCTCTTTATATGGATGCAAATTCTACTCCTTACAACTGTAGGCTTGACACACGCCCATGTAGAAAATGTAGAACCAGCTGGATTGATGCCAAAATGTGCCCCGCCCCCTTCATTTTACTATAGGCCCATAGGATTCAATATAACAGCTGTTATATATTGAATGTCCCTCCTCTCAAAACTGTAGAAATTTAGTGAGGATCTTCATTAATACTTTGGTTCATTCCGTGCATTTCTGAATATGCTGGAGCTAGGATACACTGTCACAAAACTCAAGGACATGCAGCTACGTTCCACAACTCTATCGTTTATACTTAGTTACAGTACTTAGTATCAGGTCAAAGCTCCACCACTGGTGTTATGAACCAGTAGTCTACTCTCATCGTTATAGAAGCACAAAACAAATATGCATCGACTAGACAGTAGTGATCCACGATTGTTCGGACCTTGACGTATTCGGAAGTAACTTGACAAACCAACAGAAGAGATACACATTGTTGAAACTCACCATTTTACTTGCAAACCGAGTACACCTTGTCAGCACTGGAAGAGTCACCACGAGAAGGGGCCTCATCGTCAACTATTGTCGGCCATAGTAAAATTATAAATGCCTGCTATCAAAATTAAAACAAAGATGCTTTATCACCATTCTAAGCAGTATCTAAGAATTTTATGTCGTAATTTATATATTTTAACTACTTAAATTTGAATTTTGTGAAAGTTTACGGTACATTTTGGTGGGTAGTAGGATACTTTTTGCGAGTAGCGTTTCAGGCACTGAAAAGTTTACAGAAGGCAGCCATTAGTTTTCCAAAATGGCTGCCGCGAAGAAGAACTCGCGGGAAGACTCTGCTTGGCTGGTGACTCGGGCTCGGGACAGCCTCAAGTCAGACCCTCACGCGGCCAAGGCGTGGCTCATCACGGCTAGAACACTGTTTCCCGGGGAGTTCTCCGTGCAGGTGCGTAACGGCCTCGTATGTGACCAGATATCCGCGTGTGGAAGATGGGTGGGAATGGGGGAGGGGGGCAGGATGTCTTTTTCTGTAGCCTGGGTGCCGGACCCATAGCACACGGGGCCCGAAGTAATATCTCAGTGAGCAAGGAATATTACTTTGGGCCCAGTGTGCTATGGGTCTGGCACCCAGGCTACTTTGTCTGTTGATTTGGGATTTATAGCCATATGCATCAGCCATACTAGTACCATAACCCAATCTTTTAGTTGTAATACTAGTAGTAGATATGGGAGACTGACAAATATACATGTAGATGTAGATGTAGATTTCTTCAGGCTGGGTAGGAGTTCTCTCCAGCCGCTCTTGACTTCAGTGAAATGTCATCTCTTACATCTCTTCAGAAATGGTCAAATAATATTGTAGCTTGACCTTGGTGTCAGCTACCGGTGGGATCGGGGGGTGGACGAAAGCTATAAAATCTGACACTCAGACTAGATTAATCGAAACAAAATTATCATTTATTAGGCTTTCTGTAAATGTCTACTAGTAATATATATATTTGTTATCCCCTACAGTATGAAGCATACAGTGTTGAACAGGCTGCAGGTAATACAACAGGTGCAGCCAAGATGCTGTACGACATGTGAGTGCAGAAAACGCTTATGTTGTTAACTGTGCATTACTAGTATTCTACCAAGGGCTTCCAGTATATTTCTTTTTCTGCCAATAACAAGAGGGGTCGAGAGCTAAGCAAGACTGGATCTAGGAATGCGTTATTATGTTTCAGTACACCAGGTTTGCAAGAAGGTAAGCTACCACCTACATCTACACTAATACTTGGCGAAGCCCTCTATGGGGCATCGTGTCCAGGCTAGTGTGGCCAGTGGGTGGCATGAAAACAAACAAACATAGCAAAGAAAGTGTCTGGCAACAGAACAAAAGTTTGTGCAATTGTAAGACTGCACCAGTGTATCCTGAGTACATCTGGGTGTCAGGTACCCGATGTGACTACTACAACATGATGTTGTATTTGTTGTTGTTGCCAGGTTTACCCAGTTCTCAGACGAGACCATACTCCAGGCTGAGGTCCACAAGATGACATCAGCTCTACAGTCAGACAGTAGAGACCCTGACACTGTCTTCTACACTGGTAAAAAGATCAAACATAGCTTCCTTCCTAAGGTCTCTTTGCTTAAAGGGATCTCTTTGCTTCTCTTTGCTTGTGTCTTTTTGCTTAAAATTTACTGGGTTGCTTCCCAAACATGTTGTTCTTAGTTGTATCACAAGTACACAAAAATGTCAATTTAATGATTTAAACGTTGATATAAAAAGAAGTTTTATACTAATGTTCTGTTTTGTCCAGGAATGTTTGAATCTCTTCCCAGCAGTGCACAGAGAGATGTGCTTCTGAAAAGTGCAGGTGCGTGGGATTTCTGACACTATTTTATCAAATGAAGTAATTGTAATTATTTGGATTTTAGGTACAAATAATAGCCATAAATGTAGTCTCAACTGAAATACACAATTTCTTTGTTTCTTTACTGAGAAAGTAAACGTGTACAGTTGGATTCCTGTTACCACACTCACACTACACAACATTTGCCCCCCCTTGCAGAAAAGTCTGGAAATGCAGTTGACCATTGCCGACTGATGCTGCTGTTACTGACAAGGTTTCCAGATACCAGACCTGAACATGGGGTACCTACCAACTCCCTACATATACCTTATCTACCTTAGTAATTTTACACCACTTAATGTTACAGTAGACAACCTTTGACAAGCAAATGACATGCAAATGTATGTTACATTATTGAAAATGAAAGAATTGACAAGTGAGGCTCTTTACTAGAACTACTACTTTACTCTTTTATAAAAGAAATTATACTTATAGTGGAATATTGAAAACTTATAATGTGGTTGTAACGTCATACTAGTTGTAGTAACAGTTTTTCTCTCCAGGTGAAGCTAGTGGACACCTTGCTTGATACAGAGAAGAGAGAAAGCCTACCATCACCTGTTAACTGTTACAGAAAACTGCTAGGTAAGAGAAAGACATTTTGATTCAGTCTAGACCTGACTAGACGTCCCAACTTGCATGCTTTTGGTAGGACACATTGGTGTCTGTTTCTTTGTTTTATAGCAGTTCCATTTATCAGTCCTTTAAGCCCCTGTCACACATTCAGGACCTTCCCCTGACATTGCCCCTGAATACAGCTTACCTTTCTATATAAATTAATGAATTTTTTAAAAATTAAAAAATTAAAAGTAAAATTTGACCTCCCAACACGTCTCAAAAACTGCTGGCTTACTCTGGTGTTCTGCTGACTTACGGACAAATCTCCTGACCGACCCGCAAATGTTTTGAAACATTTGGTTTGTGCAGCTAAATAGATACAGATACTGACTCCTCTCTCTCTTCTTCAGTATGTGACACCATCCCCCTGGTGTGCAGCAGTCCTGACATCGACGTGTCCCACAAGCAGCTGTACCGCTGGCTGCAGAAGGCCATGGAGTTCTACATCTGTTTCCTCACACAGCCACCCTGCAGGGAAGGTACACCATGCAACTACTCCCTCTGGCAGGAATGCTGTGAATTACACCCGTAGATGTGCAACAGTAATCTCCAAGCAGATCCTAGGGGGGCAAAAGACAGTACATGTATAAATTGGACAGGCAGAATCCATTTGCCAAGGTGGTGTATGGACCCTTTCTAGCGAATGGATACTGCTTGGCCAATTTGATACTGTCTTTTGCCACTCTAGGATCTGCTTGAAGAATAATGCAACAGTGTTCATTGACAAGGTTTATATCTCTACAATAACATATTCAACACTTCAAAGGTAACATTTGCAAAACAAATTCATGGTGTTTACCTTCACATGGTCTAGTCTAACAAACTACTGATCTGTTTATTCTTTCACATTCAAAATATATGGTGACCAGCACCTCCAACACAGTCCTGCCACTTGCTACATAATGTAATCCAACACCACAGGTTGTCTGCTTCAGCACCAGTTACCATGGTGATAGACGTCTGGTCCAGGTTATTGACCTAATTTGTTTAGAGAAGAAGAAACAGACCTTCGTTATTATTATCTCATAACTTGGACATGTATCTTTAAATTTTTAATTCCTGACCTAGGCAGTTCTCCCACCTAATACTAACAGTATGTATGTTATGTTCCTTCTCTCCCAGGTTCCAAAGGTCCTGTTCTCTCCTCAGACAAGTCCCCTCTGAAACGCCAGGCCTCGGTGTTCGGTGGCCTGACCAGGCACGCTTCCATCGAGGGTCTGACAGACAAGGAGAGCGTAGTGCTTGACCCGTGGGAGAGGCTGCATGAACTGATGATGACCATCGGCTGCCGGTGTGGCTGGGAAATCAACATGGCAAGTCTACAGGAGGAGAGGTCAGTCCACCCCCATTCCTGTACCAGAATGGTATAACCCTTAATGTCATGCCACTGTTAAAGGAAGATAATGACTCAATGAAAGCTGTTGCGTGATCCTACTTTCTCACTTTATAGCTGTGATTGTCCTTGCTTGAAAGAGATCCAAAATTATAGTTTTGAACTAAGTGTTAAGCATCCATGCTGCTTTTTTTCTATTTAAAACATTACTCACTGCCAACAAGTATAATAGTAAGGCATCTGCACTAAATGGCTTTAAGAAATGTTTAAAGTTAGATGTGCAAAGGTTGGGTGTAACTTGTCATTCGATATAATATAGCCAGCTGCCGCTGCACCATGTGCCTGCAAAGTTGGTGTGTTACGCCAAGGGGCAGTCATACCGGCTATATAGATACAGAAGAGGGAAGGAATATGTGAGATGAACACCATAGCAAGTAGACACTGCTTCCAGACTTTATCTTCAAAATTTTCACCTTAATTATATAGCTTATGAAGCCATGATTTACTTGTTTTGAAATGTTAGTTGATGAACATGTATCTTTGCCCCTTGTTCAGGAGTCTGTCAGACAAGTGGCTATGTCTGAAGGACCTGTACAATAAGGAGTCAGATGACCTGGAGGACAGCAGTCAGAGGAAACACATCCTGTACTCAGCCACCTTCCTGCTGTACCAGTGTGTACACAACTACACTGTCGCTGTGCAGCCAGAACTCTTCTCAGGTACAAATGTACATGTGCCTGGAACATATTTCTTCTGGAGCTGCTATTAATAAGGCCATGTTGATTTTGATTATATGGATGACAAAACCCCATAACCCTAGGAACCCCAAAAGGGATGCGAGCATCCTTTCCCAGGAAGCAATGTGCCGTGAGGCACTTTGTCCTGTATTATGTAGATGTAGATTGAATAAATCAGTTTGGCAAAATAAAAGTTGCCTTCATTATGAAACCTACGGCATGAAGGTTGAACAAATGACTAAATACACATAGTGTGGTATAGTGAATTATAATAGACTCTTCATTTTCTTTTCTTCACACATTTTCTTCTTTGCCTTTGGCACTGTTTTGGCATTCTAGGACATCAGTTTAATTTTCATTCATATTTGTTTGGTAATTTATGGCATATATTTTCTCATATTGCAGCTATGATTTACAGTATAGTTGAATTTTTTTTTTCTGAAAGTTACACACAATTTGATTGTTCCCTTAGGGTCCACCTCTCACAGCCCTCCCCTTGTATTGGTGGAAGACATCAGGAACAGGCCGGCAGTGAAGGAGAGAAAGTCTGGCAAACCTGTCAAGAAGAGAAGGAAACTGGAGGCTGGGGAAGATAGGGTGAGTCTTGTTGTATAAGGATCAGTC